CACATCCGGCGGCTATAAGTGCGGCGAGTGGCTACAATCCGATAAGATCTGGTCCGGCCGCCTCCGGGTTGTGTCGTGCAAGGACCGATGTGAGATCCGGTTGGAAGATCCCAACTCCGGCGACCTCTTCGCTGCTTGCTTTGTTAATCCCGGTCAGCGGGACAACTCTGTTGAGACAGTGCTTGACTCTTCTCGATACTTCGTTTTGAAGATCGAGGATGGTCGGGGCAAGCACGCTTTCGTAGGCTTAGGTTTCGCTGAGCGAAATGAAGCTTTTGATTTCAATGTCGCATTGTCCGACCATGAGAAGTACGCCAGGAGAGACCAGGAGAAGGACACCAGTGGCGGTGGCGCCGATATCAACGAAGAGAGCCACATTGATATTCATCCTGCTGTGAATCACAGACTGAAGGTATTGCCATGATTTTATTCTCATCTATSACTGAGGCTGATTAATTTGGTGGTACAGTTGTCTTGTTGGGCTACAATGTCCCTCCTTCACGTTTGAAGAGATTTGATGGATTTCTGATGAGATGCTTTGCCTGAAATCTGATGGCTTTTTGACTATGAACTGATATGATTAGTGATTAAATCTCTGATCTAGCTATTACGAAATAAAATCATTCACATAGAATTGTAGGGAATTATTCATAGCAGGCCAAGTCACAATGGTTTCGTAGATTTTAGAAGTCACTCTATGCTTTATTGGTGTACTCCCGTTTTTCTCCATGCGTAGGTCTTCAATATTTTGGTGATCAGACCTTGTTTTCGAGTTAGCACAATGACTTCGACTTAAAATATGTAAAATCATAATGCTTGTATATTATAATTGTGATTGTGTTTTCTCTATGATGGACTGAACTATAGGAAGGTGAAACCATTAGAATTAATGTGAAGCACAAGACATCGAGTGGAACTGGTATGCTATCTGCTGCTGGCTTGTCAGGGTCTGGAACTGGTAAGCCAAAAACTTTGAGCCTTGCTCCACCACCAACTGGAGCTGGGAAAATCAGGTCTCCTCTTCCACCCCCTCCAAATGATCCAGCCGCTCGGAAGCTATCTGCCAGTGCATGCCGTGATGTTGGTCATGAGGTACAGAAGGATAATGTAAGGCATGCAACCGATCCATTATCAGATCTTTCCCAACTTGAGGTACAGTTTCTACTATTAGTTGTTCTTTTCTTTATACCTGTGCATAGAAAGAAACATGCTGGGTTTGGATAATGGGATTCTTAATTGACTATAAAGTTCCCCTTTTACTTACATATATGGTTCCTCCAACCCATTTGAATCTGGATTACTTGTATTATGAAACACAATTACCAAGTTCGATTAGACTCAAGGACTGTTTTCTCTCCTTTGTGATGGGTATTGACAACTATCTTAGACATTACTGTTTAAGCTTGTCCTTTTAATTCATTTGGCAACTTCAAGAGCTGTGCCTGGTGTAATGAATGTATCGAGTTATTTCTAATGCTTAAACAATAGGCTTAGAATTTTTATATTTCTTGAAGATAAATCTGACTGATCCATATTCATTAGGTTCTCTTAGAACATAGGTAGCTCATATTGTAGTATTAGTATGACTCCTTGGGAACTCATGTCTATAAACATGTCTAGAACAATTCTAACACARGTTTCATTACATTTGCAGAGAAATCTTCCTTCTGCTCCAGGTTCGGCGAAGACATCGGCATCAGGATGGGCAGCATTCTGATCAATGTAAACTGGTGTTTGTTATCAAAATATCTTAGATTGACGTTTTTTCTGAAGGTCGAGCAATCTTCATTTTTTGGTTCATCTTTGAGGGTGGAAGGGGAGAAAAGGGGTGAAAGGGAAGTTATAAATGATAATACCATATACCATCTTGGAAGATAATCTTGGAATACATGTATACACTTCTCCGGTTATTTTCCCTACCTAATGGAGATATTTATCTTGGCTTGTCTCTGTATTCCATTTCTGTTCTTCATTTGGCTTGTCTCTGTATTCCATTTGGGACAGGGACACCGTCAGTTTGACATTGTCTTTGTATGCTAGTCAAGTTTCTATGCTGCCTAATAAGTCGTAGATAAATAAATTAAATTATAGTTCTAATAAATAATGACATACTAAAAAAATTTTATCGTCACATCATTTAAAACTTACATGTCAATAAGTTTTAATTATTAAAAGGTCGCCAACTAGCACAGGTCAACCGATTAAGAAATTTGACGAAAGCGTTGGAGGTTCGAATTACAACTCCACTTATGGTTGAACAAAACAAATATTAAACTTAATTAATTACAACTCCACTTATGGTTGAACAAAACAAATATTAAACTTAATTAATTACTAGGTCAAAATATTATTCTAGTCCTTATACTTTGAGTCTGATTCATTTTGGTTAATGTATTTTCAACTTTAGTTCATTTTAGTTTCTATACTTTCAAAATGTTCRTTTTGACCTCATACTTTTAATAATAAGTGACTATTTTAGTATTTATTTGTAAAAATTTAAAACAAAGTCTACACATAACTAAAACTCTATAATATAACATCATAGTTACATTTTAATAAATATATTGAGTGTGATGTCGTGTAAAAATTATGGTAGAAAAACAATATTACAGATAAAATAAATGAACCAAAATGACCATTTTTTAAATTATAGAGACCAAAACGAATACTTTGAAAGTACATAAATTAGTATGAACAAAAGTTYAAAGTACATGGATCAAAGTAAACATGTTGAAAGTATAAATGTTAAAATGAGTCAAAGTTCAAAGTAGGGTAAAAAATAGTATTTTAACCTAATTACTACCTCATAACGTTAAAGATTTGATCCTCACTCTCACATTTATGATGAGGATTTACATAAAATATAAAGAAAATTGTATTGCATTTTGTATAATAAGAACTACTTCACCTCTCCTTTGATTCTTAAATTTGTTATATGGATTTTATTTTCTTTTCATGGATACTAAAAGAAGTAAAGGTTCACCATTATACTTTAAAAGTGAGTAGATTGTCACCTTGAATTCAACTCAACTTGATATATGTTATTGATAAAGAGATCGTATGTTCGAATCTCCCATCCCACTTGTTATAAAAATATATATACACAATGGACTAAAAAAGCGGTGTAAATCGCAACATTCAAAAACGTAGATTTAAGTTTTAATAACTAGTTATTTATGACAATTTAGAAACTATATAAGTTTTATAGTAAATAATCATCAAAAGCCATCTTAGCTCAGTGGTAGAGCGCGTGGCTTTTAACCACGTGGTCGTGGGTTCGATCCCCACAGACGGCGGAGYTTTGCTTTTAACTTATTTTATTCATTTTGTTGGTCATTATGGTAAAAGAGTTGTGACAGTAACTCCTCCTCTTTTATTTCATTATTAATTATTAGTTATCAGTTATCTTAGCTTCTCTTTTATTTAGTTTTTAATTAATAAATGTAAACATTTTATTAGATATTAAACCAACTCCTCTTCTTTAAAAAAGAAAAAACCTCCTCTCTTGTTGTCTTTAGAATTAATTATTATTATTATCGAAAAATTAATTAATTAATTATTAACGACAATAAATATAGTAAAAATGTGGACCATTAAAAGTTTTGTTGTTTAAAATATCTTCTCCTTTGATTTTATTCAATATTGGAATTTCACAAGTTATATCATTAAAAATAAAAATTTGTAGTTGCTAACGTGAACTTAACTCAACAATAATTAACACATGTTGTTGACTAAAAAATCATGAATTTGAATTTCTATATCATATACTGTACTATAAGAAATTATTAAAAAAAAAAAATGATAGCTTTTTCATCATCTACTATAATCATAAAAAGGTATTTTCTTTCACCATTTATTCACTAACATTGGAAGTTCACTTTTTATTTATTATTAATTTCTTTTAAAGTGTCTTTAATATTGAAATTAAAGTAGCTCAATATATATATATGTTATATCCAGAAGTTGCATGAAATTAATCAAATCTATATCTTAAATTCAGTTTGGGATGTTATAATTACACTGTGACTTTAATTTTTTTTTTAAATTCAATATTGATGAATAAATTTCCAGTAGGTTCAAAGTCACACTTTTAAAGCTAAAAATCTATTAAACACGAAATTAAAACCTTATAACCTATTACATATATTTTAAAGTATAACGCGGTACTTGTTAAATACAAATATGAAAATTGAGAGATTAAACTTGTAATATAATCAAAACACTAACTACTTGTGTCGTTGTGTCAACGATGAAGGTTCCTTGGTACTCAATATATTTTTAGGTTAAGTTAAAAAAAAAAAACCCCACAAACTTTGTCACTGATTTAAAAAATTGTATATTTTCAAAAGGATGTTATTTGAGGTTTTAAGAAAATCATTTAAGTAAACATTCACTAATATTTTAAATAAAAAATTGACGTAAATAAAAGTTTGCCGGAAGAAGTAAGAAAATAGAAGAAATGTGGAATAAACTTTTAAGCAGGAAATTAATTTTAAAATTTAACCAATTAAACACTAATTTCTAATCAAASGACGTGAGTTCGAATCGATTTCTTGTACCAAACAAACAGATAGCAGGGAATAAAAAAAGAGAAGAAGAGGTAGGTGGGGCCCAGAGAGACGCACGTCTCCGTGCAAAGACACAGCAAATGTGGGCTCCCTGTGGCCGTATAATTGACAGCGCAGACGTGTTCGGCGCGGCGGTCGATCGATGGAGAGTCAAATTTACGGATTTGCCCTCCAGTAAATTTTAAAAAGGTAAAAAGAAAAAAATCAATTAATTAATAAAGCAGCCTCCTTCTGTTCTGCAAAATAAATTAATGGGTTATCATATTCATAACAACAAAGAAAAAAGGTAGAGCCTAGAGAGAGAGAGAGAGAGAGGAGGAGAGATAAATCGGCCGCCTCACCTCTTTTCTCCTTCTCATCGCGACGATTTTCTGGTCTCATCTTTCTTTCTTTCTTTCTTTCTTTTTTTGCTTTCTTTGATTTTCAAGATAAATATTTTTCTTCCCCTAAATTTTGTCCTCCGTCTCTCATCCGAATACCATCTTCTTCGATTACTGGTCTCTCCATTAATTTTTCTTAATTTCCATATTTCAAGACCAATTCCCTTTAATATTCATTTTTCCGGTCAATGTAGCTTCAGATTAGGGTTTCGATTCCTGGCTTCGTTCCGATTCTTAAAATATGTAGTTGAAGACGATCTTCTTCTTTGACTACTTTCATTTCGAACAACTCTCTTTATACAAATCTACGGGGCTTTCTTGTTCTTCCTCTATTTTTTCTTTTCTGTATCTCCGGCAACTCAATCTAATCTGCTGAAGTCGTCGGCAGTTGAATTGTCTACCGGAGAAAGGATCATGCTCTTGTACACCACGATTTGAGGCAAGTCAGGGTTGGTTGGTTGGTGTTGTCACATTTAGCTTTTGGGTTCACTTCGATTAAAGATTTGGATCATGGACCATGTGGTTGCGGGCAAGTTCAAGCTTGGGAGGAAGATTGGGAGTGGGTCTTTTGGAGAGCTCTATTTAGGTGTGTTTCCTCTCGTCTTGTTTTCTTCTGTAACTTTTTTTCTATCTACCAAGCATGGTTGTGATTCCAATCGTTTTCTTTCTTGTGGCAGCTGTTAATGTGCAAACTGGGGAGGAGGTTGCCGTCAAACTAGTACGTGATAATCTTCTATTGAAGAATAATCGTTATTTTTTATTTTTCTTTCAACTAACCGTTTATTTTTTCGTTATGAGTACTTGCTGCATCAAATTTCACTTTGCTCGTACCAAGACAGATTCTAATTACTTTTTTTCTTGTGATAATATCGCTATTAGCTATAGGGTCCTTTAATCATATTATGTGGAGCGCTGGTTATAGCCACCTTTTCCCCCCCGGACTACTTCTATGAATTTTAAATACAGTATTTTTAATAGAATTCTGAGCTCGTAGAAGAAACTTAGCTAATATCCTTTACCAAGATGTTCTCAATGCATTCTTAGCAAAACGGTGGACTGGTTTTTTGAAAAGTATAAGAGATCGTCTTTCTTAAAATCAATCTGTAGAAGAAAACTTGCAACAAGTGATATTGATATGATAGCAAAGATACTTTGAAGCTCGACAGTGACGTTTTCAGATGAAGTGTTTCCCTTGTGGGGGCCATCATGTTAATGTGGAAGGGAAAAACGTGGTGTTGGTGTTTCTTGCTAATTGCTCTCTTATTGGGATAAAGACACTCGGGAACTTTTTTAGTTAACGGATCAAAACATCACTCTTACTTGGTCGATAAAAAGTTTATTGGATGGAATTGTGAATTTGTCTATATTGATTACCTCAATCTTTTTTTTATTTATTTTCAATGAGAACATTAATTCCTTTGATTTTAGGAATTGCCTTTTTATGTTTTCACAGTTAACTAGTTTTTGACGGACTTATTTCTGAACGAGCTTTTAGTGGTTCCGGGATTTCCTTTTGTTGTTAATATCWTTTGCTTATGAACTAAAGTATTATATTGTTACTAAAATGTCGGTCTCTGTACTTATCATGTTTAAATTTTGAGGAATAATCTGAATGAAGCAAAGCAAACAGTTATTTTACAAATTGTTCTAAGTCTAGTTGTTATTTTCAGGAACCTGTGAAAACCAAGCATCCTCAGCTTCATTATGAGTCGAAATTGTATATGCTTCTTCAAGGAGGAAGTATGTCTCTCTCTCTCTCTATTTTTCTCTCTGTGATGATTAGATAGTGTATAAGTAGAGATATATGGGGATATGGAATTTGCAGTTTACATCATTTATTGGTGGATGGAAAATGCAAGGGGACAGTTACATGTTCTTGGTACTAGTACCTGAGTTAATCTTTGGCCTTTGTCCAAGTGACATCTAACATTAATTTGGGGTTCTAATCAAATCAAACCCCAATCCACATCAGAAGAACCAGAAAGAAATAAGCACTAAATTTTATGGTGCTTAGAGAAGTTTTTCGTACATCTTACGGATGGACATAATTCTTACACTGTTAAACTTGTTGGCATGCAGTTCATAATGATACTTTGTGGTGAAATGAATGATGCAACTGCACTTTTCCTTGCCTATTCGTTTATATTCTAGCCTATATATGTTGCAAAATTACAAATAAGCTCTTTTATGATGTTATTAAATCCTATATTTTGTTGGTGAAGCGGGAATCCCCCACCTGAAGTGGTTTGGAGTTGAAAGTGATTACAACATTATGGTGATTGATCTTCTGGGGCCAAGTTTGGAAGATTTATTTAACTACTGTAATAGAAAGTTTTCATTGAAAACTGTCTTGATGCTCGCAGATCAATTGGTACGTGTGGTGTGGATGGCTACTTTTGTGTACATGAGCATTAGTTGGATGGTCGTAACTAACCCCCTCTCTATATATTGTAACTTTCAGATTAACAGGGTTGAGTACATGCACTCGAGAGGTTTTCTCCATCGTGATATAAAGCCCGACAACTTCTTAATGGGACTTGGACGGAAAGCCAATCAGGTAGTGCTCTTATGTGGTTCTTTATGGTTCTCCATGCCCTATGGAAGTGAAGTGTTATTAGGTTCTAGTCTTTAAGTGATTAAATTTAGGGACAGTGTAGAGATTCAGGATAATATGGGTTTGAATGACTTTAAAGGAGAAAAGTCTTATATTTTTCCATTGTATTTGAGTATGAGGTTTGACGAAGGATTACGATATTTTTGTCACAGCTTGGGTAATTGCAATTACAGTTCACAAGTTCTTCTAATAAGTGTTTCATGTAATAATACTGTTATAGGTATATATCATCGACTATGGCCTCGCAAAGAAGTATAGGGATTTACAGACTCATAAGCATATACCATACAGGTTGATACATAATCTTAACCTCAGAGCTGAGAATTTGTGGTTCTATTTGTGACATGGCAATATGTGTATATATTTGTTTAAAATTGTCTAATTCTTTGAAGATTCAGATTAGTGAGGTATCTGTAGATAAGAATCTTTACAGTTTTTTTGCCTCACTTTTCCAGGGAGAACAAGAACCTCACTGGCACAGCTCGCTATGCTAGTGTTAACACTCACCTAGGAATTGGTGAGTAGTTCGGGAAGGAAATAAAGTTCAAAACTTTATAGATGTCTTGATATTTTATTTACATTATGCTTCTTTTATGGGCAGAACAAAGCAGAAGGGATGACCTAGAATCTCTTGGTTATGTGCTTATGTATTTCCTAAGAGGAAGGTTGGTCTACTCAACTCCTGAAGAATACTCATTCATATTTCAGGGCACTCAAGTATTACGTGAATGCTGCCTAATCTTGTTTTTTGCTTGCCGTATAATGACTCTAAGATTTCTGTTTCAGCCTTCCCTGGCAGGGTCTTAAAGCAGGCACGAAGAAGCAAAAGTATGATAAAATCAGTGAAAAGAAGATGTCAACTCCTATTGAGGTACCCCAGGAATCTAAAAGAAAAACATAATACCACTTATGTAATATTCAATTAGAATGCTAATAATGATAGTTTTATTAATAAGTATTAAATTAATAATATTTTAATTATAATTACTATTATTTTATGTTAATATTATTTATAATAAATCCGTCAGTAAGTATTTCTTATAAATATCAATAACAATGGCTATGAATCTAGGATAACTTTTTTTTTTGGAAACTAGGGAAGCTTTCATTAGGTCGAGCAGGATGATGATGAGAAAACACTATATTACTATTATATTATTCTCTATCAATTTTTTTTGTCTCCAATTCTGATTCCGTTCATTGCCACCAAACACAGCCTCACGGCGACAATACATACTTTTTTTTTTCTGGGCAATAGTCTATGCTACAATTGCTGTAATCCATTGTAATTAATCATGTTTTGTAGGTGCTCTGCAAATCACATCCACCTGAGTTTGTATCTTATTTCCATTACTGTCGATCATTGAGATTTGAGGACAAACCAGATTATTCATATTTAAAGCGACTTTTCCGCGACTTATTCATACGAGAAGGTAATTCATTATTCTTCATCTCGACTTTCTAACTTTATTTTCACAATATTTGTTTCGTTAGCTCTATATCACAATGAAAGCCTTCATTTCAAGTTCTTTTTTTTTCTTTGTTTCAGTGGGGCCATTTTCTGTAATTATTCTCCACATAGGCCTTGACCTGTGTTTTTGTGCACTCACTCATCTTAATGAAATCTGGTTTCTTATTGGAAAATTTTGTTACTTGAACGTGTTTTGTGGCCCTTTTTTTTAATCTCCTATTTTTCATTATCCATTTTACTTTCTGGTGTTGAGTATGGATTTCTTAGTAGCAATTGATATTCCCTTTCAGGCTATCAATTTGATTATGTGTTTGACTGGACTATACTGAAGTACCCTCAAATTGGAAGCAGTTCCAGAGGACGAGTAAATACTTGCAATTTTTTTCCTTTTGTTTGTAATTTCATTAATATGGATTTGTTATATTGGTTCCTGGCTCCATTGTAGAATGCAAGTGGGAAAGCGGCACTTACTCCAGGACCATCGGCAGAAAGGCCAGAGAGAACCTCAGGTCTGCATCCTGGGGAGTTTTTCCTGCTYGGAAAATAGTTGTTTGTTGAAAAAAAAAAGACTTGAGAAACATAACATTTCAGCAATGTAGTTGCATTTTAGTATTAACCTTATTGTTTATTACTTGTTGGTATTATTTGTTGCAGTTGGGAAAGAGATCCGAGAAAGATTGTCAGGTGCAGTTGAAGCATTTTCTAGGAGGAATGTATCTGGTTCGAGTCCACATGTTGATCATTCTAAACAAAAGGCTTACGAGGATGTGGTAAATTATTTTAATTGAATTTGAACAAAAAATGTAACGAATGTATGTCTCTTATCATTTAGGAAATTTATTATTTTTAATCCAAATATTGCTAGTGAATATTATAGCTTGGATCAATTAAATCTCCTTGTATTTTCTGTTTGAAAATTATTTGCACTTGCAAGTTTTTTTCCCAGTAGTTACATTCTTGAAATTATTTCTTTTCACAAGTTTGAATGGTTACCTGACATTAATATCCATGAAGCAATCATGATGGAGACATGATTGTCGATGTAAGGAGAGTTATTGCAAGCCTCATTTGTGTGGGTATATGTAGTGAAAAGGAGATGACAGTTGAGAAAAATGGTAGATTTTTTTCAGCTGGTTTTACAGTAAGGCTTTTGCATCCGAAGCTTGCTAGAGAAAGAAAAGGCAAATAAACATGAATTGGAAGTAATAAAACAACTCCTGCATAGAAATTCTAGTTTTGTTTAGCTGGTTTTACTGTAAGGCCCTGCATTCTGAGGTTTCTAGAGAAAAAGCATAAAACACGAAGTGAAAATAAACATGAATTGGAAGTAATAAAACAACTCCTGCATATAAATTCTAGTTTTGTTTAGCTGGTTTTACTGTAAGGCCCTGCATTCTGAGGTTTCTAGAGAAAAGGCATAAAAAACGAAGTGAAAATAATAAAACTGGTGATGGAATGAAACTAGCTGAAAGACGCGAGGCTGGGTTAAGAACCATGTCTTAGGAGTTTCCTGGTTGGAAATACTGTTCTTGCGGTAGATGATTAAGCCATTCATCTCACATTCATAAGAGAGACAAGAAAATTCATTAAAGTGTTTACTTGGTTTAGTTTTGCTTGGAAATGATTACTGTCCTTGGATTCGTTCTGTTTCTTGAAGTTAGTACGTTTGAATCAATGAAACCTATCAAATTGTTTCTAATTTATTCCCAAGAACCATATTCCACTCTAATATGTATACTTGGAGGATTTAGCTAAACTTGATAGTTGCAAATTGGGAGGATACTTCATACACGATCCTTCTGTACTAGCAAACTTAATTGCTATGTCACTCTGGTATATTCCTGGGATGCACTTATAATCAGACATCTGTGTTCTTTTTGAATTGCTTTCTTCCCTTAACGTTGCAGTGATTGCACCTTGGTGAGATCATATTTGTAGAAATGTTATGTTATATTAACTTTATAATTGAAGTTTTGCTACCCTTGTTTTCAGCTTCCTGATTCTGATCGAGGGCGTAGTTCTTCTCGATATGGCAGCACCTCAAGAAGAGCTATAGTTACAAACAGTAAGCCTAGTTCTTCTGGTGATCACAGTGGTGAAGGCCGTCGACTAGTCGCAAGCACTGGGCGGCCCTCTACCACTCAAAGAGTTCATTCTTCTTACGAAACAAAGCCAACCTCATTTGTTCGAACATCGACTACAAGAGGCGGCCGTGATGATCCCCTCCGGAGCTTCGAGCTTCTATCAATCAGGAAGTAATAAGAAGGTTTTCATTAGGATATTCGCATATGCATCAGAGGGATAAAGCCCTCGCATTTGCAAAGATTATTTGCATCATTTAATTCTCTCTTGTACATCGGATATCGCCAAACCCGACAGTCGACACGTCTTGTATGACTAGAAATCCAGAGGACTATCTTTGCATCCTTTCCCCTCGAAGAGTGTATACGGCCATTGTAACGCGTTTTAGATACCACATACTACCAGATGCAGAGATTCACGCAGAGCATTCTACTTGTTACTCCAAGTAGCTGTTATAATACTGTATTTCCTTTCATGTACTGACATTTCAGACCCAACCATCAGTTATTTTTATAGTTTACTAGTGTGCCTATAACTATTACTCATGAACGAAAAAAAAATATCCTTGTTTTCCCCTTGGCTGGAAAATCAGATTCAATACCTCAAAAGTTCAGTTTCTTAAAATGGTCTCATTTCTTCTTTACCTTTTGATTTTGTAGTGTCGGAAAGATTTGTACTATTTGGAGACAAACTTTCTTACTGTTTAGATTGATGTATTAGTAAATTTCTTCTTGCTTTTCCAGGATTGAAAACTTGAAGGACAAATTTCCCTATTACTATGTTATGAGAAGGGACATGATTTTGACTAAATCAAAAGAATGAACGAACGTGTCAATAAATCAAAGGCAAGGGAATTAATATGAAATTTACTTTTTGTTTTAAATTCAAATGTCTTGTTATATTGAATTACACATGAATTCTCTCATTAGAATCAGGTGGAGAAAATGTTGTAATTAAACCTTGTGTGAAATTGATATGAAAGGCTAAATAACATTTKATTTCTTCACAATAAAATCATCCATTATTTCATTAAATTGTGAATGAGGGGGAACAGAGACTTGTGCACAAAAGAACACCATCAAAATTGGCAGGATATGGAAAAAAAGAACAACACAAACATGCTGTCTAATATTGCTTCATGAAATATATAAACAAGAGAGGAAATAAATTTATATAAATTTACCTTATAAAACACACCATTAATGTAGTAATGCAAAATATGGGAAGAAGAATGAAGACAGAGCTAAATCATTTTTTGACACATCATGTCTAGTTTGTCACACTTCCTAGCTTACTCTAATTTCAATTTTAATCACATGTATACTTACGTTTCCTGCGTTTTCGGTTAGAAATTATGTATATTATTTTCCGGTGCTTAGTAAAACACATATCACGATTATTATAAAATTGTGTCACCTTACTTTTAAGTTATAGGTTTGAATCTTCTTTCTCTTATTAATCTTCGCTATCTAAGAACTTTTTACAACTGCATTTTCTAATTAGCCATGCTAAAAAATAATAGAATTGAAAAGAAACCGGCGCCATTGACATGAGAGGAGGGCCTGTCAAAAAGGTTTCCTAATTTTAGAGAGATGATAATTAAATTTTTTGAGAAAACAAGAAATTGGAAAACATTTTGAGACCTAAAATTGCGATCCATTTCTGGCCAAAATTTCATTGGAAGGCAAAAACTTGCAACAAACAAATTGAAAACCACCAAATGAACGAAATCAACGACACCTTTGCTTTAAACAGATAGTGTTTTTTGGGAATTGCCACCCATTCCTCCAAACAACTCCTCAAACTTTTTTCTTCTTTCCCAACCATTGCCTCCTCTCCCTCTTCTCATTCCCATGTTCATCTGATTTCATGGCCAATTTCCATGCTGTTTTGCCTCATTTTGGCCTCCATTTGGGGTTCCATTTCAAAAGGTAAGAACACAAAATTTCACCCCATTTTCTTCCACAACACACAGAACCCATTTGTTTTCTCATCACCATCCATTTTGGCTCAGTTTTATGAACCCCTCAAAGCTTTGATTTGATTCCACACTTCTTCTTCCCCAAGAGCAAAGAGCAGGCAGATCAGTTAGTTCTCTCTTGTTGCTTCATCTTCCATCAAGAACAAGACTCTGAGCAAACAAAACAAAACAAAAATGTCTAACAATAAAATGAAAGGCCTCCTCAAAGGCCTCAGATACATTTCTCAAATATTTGGTATGCAAAAGCCAACCCCTTTTTTCTTCTCTCTCTCATCCAAATTTTCTGTGCTGCTAATTTTTCCTTTTTGCTGTTTAAACTTCTGCAGATAATGAGAAAGAACCTGAAATGCAGATTGGTTTTCCCACAGATGTCAAACATGTTGCCCATATTGGATGGGATGGTCCTTCAGTCAATAATAATCCAAGCTGGGTATATCAAAAGAAAAAAAAAAGTTCCTTTTTTTGAAAAATACTTTATGAAGAGTTTAATTTAGTTTAATTCAAATGGGTTTTGTTTTATTTTTATTTTTGTTTGAAGAGTGATTGGTTTTATTTATTTGGGATTTAAGAAAAGAAAGGGTTAAATTTCAATTGAATGCAGATGAATGAATTCAAAGCACCACCCCCTAATGGAGAAACCAATGAGGATGCCTCTGTCCAATGGGCTTCTCAAGGTATATATCACCTCTTTAATTTTGTTTTATTTTTTTAATTTTAATTTTGATTTTCTTTTCGAATTTGGGGTAATTGGAAACTGACAAACTTTTAGAGTAACCCAATCTTGTTATAGTAGACTAATTTTTATTTTTTACACAAATTTAGATGGTTAGAACTCTCATTTTCTTCGGTTTTCAATTCAAATATAAGCTAGGAATATAATATACCTAAATTTTAATTTTCAATCCTAAATTTAATAGATTTAAGTATATTTAAAATTAGGAATATCTTCGTTGTATTTTCTTATTTTCATCTAAATTTAAAATAATTTTTTCAAGAGATCGTAGGTTAAATTCTAGTACGAAGAATTAAAAATTAATTTGTGTGGGAAAATTAATTAGTTGTTGTTATCGACTTGAGGTGGAGATTCGAAAAGAGATATGGCAGTTACGACTCGGGACATGCCGGAGCTCCCAAAATCATCGAGACGGCAGTCGTCGACTGTGGGCGGAAGCGCGGCGGAGTCTCCGACTAGAGAGAAATCGGAGAAACCAAAGTCAAGGAAGTCATCCAAGTCGAAGGAGTCGTCCCGTCGGAGCGCCGATCTGAACCAGGGCGGAGAGTCGCCGACGCAGGGCGCTCCGGGCATTCCGAAGAAAACGCGGCGGAAGAAATCGAAGGACTCGGCAGGAGAAGGGTCCACGAGATCCACGTGCAAAGCTGCGGACACGTGTTCCGATAACGGGTCGGATCAAGGGTCCATAGCCGGATCCATATCCAGATCCAACGACGAGGATTTGTTAACGGGAGACGGTGTGTTTGCATGAATATTTGCTTTTGGGGGGCAAATTATGTAATTTAAGGTATTAGGTAGGATAATTGATAATTCTCTAGTTTTTCTTTTTTGGTCAACCAAGCTTCATTGTCAAACAAAACAAATCAACTTTCTATTTTCTTTTCTTTTCTTTTAATTCCAAAACTACTTATACTTCATTACTTCTCTTCATATATTCAATTATCTGTACTGTTTTTTTATTGTTTTTTCCCCAAGTACATGTTTTAGTATTTAATGTTTGGACTTGAAATTCAAATAGAATGAACACAAAAATTGAGGAACAAAGCTATAAACCTAATTAAAACCAGAATCCCACTATTGTTTACATCACTGTATGCACCTTTAAGCTGTAAATTGACACAACTTAATTACAATTTTCCGCTTCCCTAATTCTCACTCATTCAAATCTGAACAAAATGTAAATAGAAAGAAAAACAGCAAAATTTTCCTAAACCCTAAACCCTAAACCCTTTCTTTTTCTATCAGCCTTAACTCGTTAATTTTCTCCTAAAATTTCACCAACAAAATCCACAGAACTCCGATTAACGGAAAACTCTGAAACTTAGCAGAAGCAAGCATGATTGAAGAAGAACACCCACTGGGGAAAACATGCTCTGTGATGTTTGATTGGTGGCACAGTTTCATCTTCCCCAAAACGCTTCCATTTGTAACTTTCTTCAGTTCTTCATCTACACAGAGCTCCGGGTTCCCTCTTAGTCTCAATTTCCCCCCAATTTTTGAAGAGAAATTTGCAGAAAATGGCACTCTGCCGCTCAGTTTGTTGTTCTCTAAATTGATTTCTTTCAGTGTCTCCAAAAGCTCAAACTCCGGCGGTAATTTTCCTTCGAGGCTATTACCGTCCAGCGCCAGATAACTGAGACTTCTCAAATTCACCGCCATTGATGGAGGAATTTTTCCGGTCAACCCCATGCCGGAAAATCCAATCCCCGACAGGCTCTCGAGCTTTTCCCATATCTCTGGAATCTGCCCTCCGACCATGTTTCCGCTCAGATGAACCTCCTTCAACCTCGGCATGGCCCAGATAAATTCGGGTATTCCGAAATTTCCGAATCGATTGAAGCTCACGTCTAGAAACTCCAACTTCTCCAGATTCAGGTAGCTTTCCGGTATTCTGCCGGAAATTCTGTTACAGCTTATGTCCAATTTCAGAAGCTCGGAGAGGTTTCCGATGGATTCAGGGGCATACCCGTCGAGAAAATTCCGACTAAGATCGAGAATCTTCAGATTTTTGAGTTTGGACAAAGAAGCCGGAATGTGACCGCTGAGACGGTTCCGCGAGAGGGTAATCTCTTCAATCCGGCCGGAGTCGGAAATCCGTTCAGGGATTTGACCGTAGACGCCATTTCCAGTAACGATAGCCCTCTTCAAGTTGGTGAAGTTGGCGAAGAGAGTCCGGAGTGGGGCCACCAGAGATGGGTTATCAACGAAAACAAGCTCCTCCAAAGTGGACGCAAACGCCGGCGACGTATCCCCGGAAAAGGAGACAGCGCGGGGTCCGGTGAAGCACTTGTAGAAGAAGAGCTTGCGCAGGTACTTAAAGGAGGAGAAGAGAAGTGGGTTAATAGTGGAAGAAGAAGAACAGGGCGGATTCCCGGAGTAATCGGAGAGGAAACCGAAGCTCATCTGGACGACATGGGCGGCGTCGGGGTCCGTAAGGGTAAGGGTAGTGTTGGGAGAGTCGAAAAAGTAGTCGCAAACAAGGCCGTGCGGGGGGGAGGAGCAGAGGTCGCCGGGGAAAAGGGTCCGCCAGGGGACGGCGGAGTTGATGGAGTGAAGAACCTGGAAAACAGAGTCTCGCTCGAGAGGAGAGAGAAGCGGTAGCTGAGTGGAAATGGGGAAGATTTGCAGAAGGGTGACGAGGGGAAGCCATGGAAACAGAGGAGAAGGAGCCATGGGGTAAAGTGTAAGGGCAAGGAGAATGAGGAAATCGTAGTGAAAGTGAATATATAGAGGGAAGGGGAAGGGGAAGGGGAAAGGGAAAGGGAAAGGGAATGGAATTGGGGTTTTGTTCTCCAGTTTTGATTTGGTTTATGGTCTGTAAAGTGTAACCGTAAAAGTGCAGCACAGCATCTGTTTATCCGCCGTACTGCACAGTGTAGTCTTCAGAAAAGACCAACCCAGCATTTCAAAAGTTTTGAGTTTCATTTTCTCTTTACCCAAATATTCAATATCACTTCTTCCTTCCATTCAAACTATAATGCAATTCAAGTGGACATGTAAATTACTTACCAATACCATTGACCGCATTTGAATCCTTTACTTTAAGCCTTCGATGAAATCATTGGAAAGAGGGACAGCGGCCTGCTCCAACCCGACAGCGTAGCGCCGCAACCGCCGACTTCACATCTGAAAGCGACCCCCAACCGTTTTCGCCACGTGTCCTCCATCCCACTCCACTTGGGCCCTCTTTCCACCAAGGCCCATCAACACTTCAAACAAGGCCCACCCCCACAATGTTGCAGATTTCTTTTGCTTTTCTCAAGGATTAAAAGAAACAACTTCATTATATACATACATGCATCTATAGATATATATCTATGTATGTAATGTACATGTACATGTATCATGTGGCTTCAAAGGAGCTAGAAATATGTCATTGTGGATCGCACATGTCACACAATTAAACCATCATCTTCAAATATGAAATATGATACTAATATATTTGAACACAATCGTATGTTTACTCGTTTAAATAGAGATATTTATGTATCTGTCTTAGAGTTCAAATATTTAAATTTCCATCATAACATTATTGAACTCCACAAAAGAGAAAAAAAAAAATCATGAATCTCCAAACTCACCCTCTCAAGAATAACTTATTTTCTAGACAAGGAAGAACCACAAAATGAGCCTTGATATTAAATACATTAATATTGCCTCTTCTTTCCAATGAAATGACCTAAATTACTAATACTTAAAAGATTCAACCTAAACTAGTGGGGTAACATATAGGTAGGTAGATGGCATTTAAAGCTCTAAGCCCATCCCCATAAATGCTTCCACAGGTCCATATTGCTGATATTGTTCATAGGTTATATTCCTCATTTAAATTTAGTTAGTTAATTAAGTTTTTTTTTTCCTTTCATTAACAGATATATTAAATTTATTTTAACCCATCAACTTAAGCTTTTAGTTGATTGATTGTTTAATTATATTTAACATGTTATCAAAGCGACATTTGTGTGTTCAAATCTATGTATTATTATTTCCTCCTAATTTATACTCATTTTTACTTGTTGGGTCTTGTCCAATTTTTCAAGTCTACAAGTGAGGAGAAGTATTAGGTAGGTTAAATTTCAGAATTAATTGGTCGTTATTAAACGGTTAGCATTTTAATTATATATTGTTGAATCCTTCATCTTGCAATTTAAAAGAGGTTAGCTTTTTTTAATAAATGATAGCTACTCTTGGTATGTGCAAACTTCATAATCAAAAGATGGGGTTTATTTCCTTTTAATAAGTGACATTACACAAAAGATTGTTTTTGTCTTTATCTTTAATTTATTATCTTATCAATTTTCAACAAAAAATTTAATTTATTTCAAAACTTAATACTTAACCTATCTATATGTAGTTTAGCTACACAATTCACAGAAACGTTTATTCGCCTAGTAAATAAATCTAAGATATATCATAGATTTTAGACCATTTATGAATTATTATTATTTTCTTAAAATAGTCAAATCATTTATGAATTAGACTATTTCTCAAAAAAAAAAAAAAAGTACGAAATAGGCATTAAATCGCATTTACACGTTATGTTAATAGTTGTCTCTAAAAGGTTTATTAGTTATATATATAATTGGTTCACCTACTGTTTTGACCCACTTTGGTTCATTTTAATCTCCGTACTTTGAAAATGTTCATTTTAGTCTCTATATTYTAAACTTTGGTTCATTTTAGTCCATGTACTTTAAAAATGTTCAGTTTGGTCTTTATACTTTTAAAAAGTGATCATTTTAGTCTATTTTTACAAAAATCTTAACACAAATTTTACACATAATAGAAACTTTTACCATAAAGTATTGTTTACATTTTAAACAATATATTGATTTTAATGTCGTGTTGAAATGATGATAGAAAAAATTAGATTAAGGATAAAATTAARGGACAAAAATAGTCACTTTTTAAAAATACAAKGATCAAAATGAACATTTTAAAAGTACAGTGACTAAAATAAACCAAAATTGGAAGTATATGGACCAAAACGAATATTTTAAAAGTATAGAAACCAAAATGAACCAACTTAAAGTACAGTAAATTAAAACTCTGATAATGGTCTGCACAAATATAATTTTTTAATTTTGGAATTTAAAAAAGATTATTGAAGTGTTTTAGAAGTTCAAAAAAATATAATAAACAAAGACGAATAACTTTAGAAATGTAATCTTAATTCAGCAAGACCTGAAGAAAAATTCTTCCAATACTTGTTTTTATTAATGGGTAAAAAATCTACMAATRCCAGCTTGAACATAGTTTAAGCATCTATTTTAGATCAAAAAAGTCATGAGTTTAAATTTTCATTCTCACTGTATTGAAAAGAAATATGAAACAAGTTATCTGTTTMTTTTAAATTATTAAACATTTATTAATATGTATAGTTGCATTAAATAATCATAAACATAATTTCAGTATTTTCGCCTTTTATTTAAGARATATATGCAAACAAGCTACGACATTTCTTTTAAATTATTATACATTATTAATATATAGTTACATTAAATTAAATATTCATAAATATAATTTCAGCATTTTCGCCATTTATTTCTAAATGGAAATTTTAATCAATGGATAGTATAAATTTAAAAATGTTGAAATTTCTAAGGAAAAATACACTTTTAGTCCCTCAAGTTTGAAGTAGGTGTCTATGTAGTCCTTCAAATTTTAAAATGGATACTATTAGTTCTTAAAGTTTGATAAATGGTTCTAAAGGGTCTCTAGACCATTTTGACGGTTAGTTGATTAATGTTAAAATTTTGCATATTTGGCCAAATAAATTACTTCAATAAATTTCTTTTCTGATGTCTGGATTTTTCAATTTCTTTCTTGTTTTTCAMAATATATCATTCCTCTGCCTCCACTCTTACGGTGAAACTCATCACTGGCGGCTGCCGTCTCTATCCTTGCCATACATCACTGTCACTGCCGACCATGATGACCTTCTCCGACCACAAAGAGGGGATGGAGGTTCTGTTAAGGATCCCACATTGAAAAGAAAAGAGACCTAACAATAGTTTATAATAGTCATGGACTACTTCTCTCATTGTCAATTAATTTTGGGATTGAACCCCATGAATATTGATATTGTATCAGAGTCSAAGACATCTTAGGTTTCGATCAATTTTATGATTATTCAAATTAGGACAATGCAACCAAATCAATATCCCAACTTCTCACCCACATTAGCTTTAAAAACTCTTTTAAACTACGAATCTCCAACCTCTAAATTTCAATGAAAAATGTTCAAAGATTAACCTCAAAATCCCCTCTAATGGTGGTGACCACTCTTGCTCCTCCTCTTTGTGTCTCTCCTTCTCTACCCCCTCCCATGGTGACGTCGATACTGATTTGAGATACCCTCCCCATAAAACGTTTGGACTCCATCTTGAAATTGAAATTTGTTAGTTGTTAGTTGTTAATTAGGGTTTTGAATTTGGGCGCGCAACAAAGAGGTTGCTGGTGGCGCCCGCGGGCCACGATGGGTGGGGAGGACAGAGACGGCAGGGTGATGAGTTTCACCGAAAGAGGAAAGGGAAAGAAGGAGATATTTTCAAAAATAAAAAAGAATTTGAGAAGTCCAAGCAATTTATTTTGCCACAAAATACAGGCAGTCACATCATTTTAACATTAGTCAATTAGTCAATTAACGGTTAAAATGATTTCAGAGACCATTTTTTTTTTCTTTTATGTGAATTTTTGTTCTCTTTTTTAGTACAATTCTATTTTGTTATCTTTTTAAGTTCCATCATTACGAAAATGGGAGACCTAAATTAACTTTTGATATTGTAATTTTTGTTTGGTTTAAATGATGTTATTTTTATAAAAATTTTAAACCTCATATTATATTTAAACTACATATTGATTTTATATAAACGTCTCAAATTTAGAATAAAACACAACTATTTTATATTATTTGTTTAAAATTTTACCTATACTTCCTCATGAATTTACCAATGTGTAGTAAATTAGTAATTACTTTCCGATCACTAAAAATATGAYGATTATTTAATTTTTTAATATAAAAAATCTATATTTTTAGATTATTTTTATTCTATTTGTGGGAGCATGAGGAAGTAGCCAATGGAGGCAGGCATTTATTGTTTGTTTATTTGAAAAGGATAAAACTGAACTTCATAATCCATCTACGTGTTTGAAATTTGACGAGCATTCCAATTTTACCGATCATCTTGGGAAAACAAATTCGTTTTCTCTCACTTTTTTAATATAAGATTTAAATCATTTTTGTTTGTGTATTTCCCATTTTAGATTATTTTCGCGATAAGAAAAATTCAGCATGAAATGATTTTTTTAAATCCACGTTAAAATCAAGGTATTAAATATTTGCTGACATGTCAATATTTTCATGAAATTGAGACTTCAACATTTTCATCGACATTGATATTTAAAATCGGAAATGGATTACAAAGGAGTCGGGGACACAAGATTTAGTTAAATATAATTTAGTTTGCTTATTTACCAAGTTGTAAGTCTTTGGTCGGTTGGCAAGCCCCTTCTACCTCTCATGAAACTATGATTCCAAGTCGCCTAGTTCGAACCAAACCATATACGTATATATAAACAAAAAAWTATGAAATTGTGAAAACTTGATTGCATAAGAATCCATGGATAAAACAATAGGCTCATGGCATATATTGAAAAATATTTATTTGATAAGTGTTTGGGGTCAATTTGAGAACATATGAAAGTTACAATTACAATATTATTAAATGAGCTCCATCTACAAATATTTTGAATTTTTTTTTTATTGTATCTTACCCTTTTTTATATAACGTGTTAAATTTCTGTTTCCGCCACGGTTTAAAACCTGAGTTAAAATCTTATAAATAATGAGTAAAAAAGATTTTCCCCGCTGACAATGAATATAATCGGAATCAAAACAGGATTTAAATCGCAGTATAAACATCACAGGAAAACCAATCCATTCCATAGACACACCCAGCAAAATCCAGACTTGGGCGGAGTTGAGTCTCCTCCATCGGAGAAGTTTTCGAGTTCCAAAGRGAGAGCTAAAATGGCGGATAGAGAAATTAGCTCCCACCCACTACTGAGGAGACGAAGAACAGAGTTCAACCATGGCTTCTCTTCCTCCCAGATGGAATCCATGGCCGCCTTCTGTGAAGCTCTCGTCCCCCCTCTGCCTCTCTCTGCCATTGACAAAGAACACCCACCAGACCCATCTCTCCATTCCTTCTACCAAGCCTCCGCTTCTCAAACCCCGATGCCGGATGAGGTCATCTTCTTCCTCTGATACCCTTTTAAGTTCTCGTCAAAATTTGATGATTCCTATTCCGAAATTGAAAACTTGTTTGTTTGTTTGTTTTAATTCGGGAATTTTAGGTAGCTGAGCTATTGGCGGCGAGGGCTCATCCAAAAGCTGTGTTTCTTGTGAGATTAGTGCTGAAACTTGTGTCTTTCAGATTGGGGACATTGTTGCTCTGTGGTTGTCTTTGCTTGGATTGGAGATGGCCTTTCATTCTCAAATTCTCTGAAATTTCTCTGGAGAAGAGAGAGCGGATTCTCAGCAACTGGTCTGGAGCTCACCAGAAGTATACTGTGCTTCTGAGAATGGCTTTCATGATTATTAAAGTTTTCTGCTGCTTCAATTTCTTCTCCAGGGTAAGATTTCCTGGAAATCTCTCAGCTTTCTCTTTCTTATATCTTTGTTGCTTTTAGTGAGAGAGAGTGTGTGTGTGTGTGTGTTCGTGCTCAAACATTGCTTCAGAAGATTTGGCCATGGACGATGATAAGATGGTATAAATATGTACTGTAACTTCAATATTGTTCGAGTTCTGTTTGGTTGTGAAGTTTTCAACTTGTGTCTAAACTAAGTCTCTAACAGAGATACACTATATTAAATTCAAAAGTGAAAGTTCATGAATCTGTTGGACGTTCTTTCAAGTTTAAAGGTTTACTAGGCACAGTCTTAAAAGTTTATGTACCAAACTTATATTTTAACCCATAATTAACTCTTCTCTTGTAACACCACAAGAACATCTTAATTTTGTTATCCGATCAATCTCTCCTCCAAGTTTTCATATATATTGACATTTACAGCATTCCTTCCTTTGATCGTTAACTAAAGGCTGACACCCTCCTGTTCTCTGGTTCACAATCATGAAGGATCTACTGATATTGAGTATTATAATAGAAAGGATTCTTGTGTTTTGTTTCAGTTTGATGAGAGGTGTAAAAACAAAGCATGGGAAGTGATGGGGTATCGAGTAGACACCCGAAAACGGTTGAACGAAACCCAAAAAGAGCGGCCTCTTGAAAAGGGGGTGATAGAAACTGGCAATGAAGATGATTCCACTCTTCTCCGTTCTCTTTCCCTAAAAGGCCTTGAAGCAACTGAAGATAAAAAACATGGTGCCTATAAGATCAAATGTGATGTTGTGATTGTTGGCTCGGGATGCGGCGGCGGAGTTGCAGCTGCAGTTCTTGCAAGATCTGGTTTAAAGGTAGTTGTTCTCGAGAAAGGGAACTATTTTGTGCCTGAAGATTATTCCTCTCTGGAAGGTCCATCCATGGATGAACTATATGAATCAGGTGGACTGAAGTCAACTCTTGATGGGAAGGTTATACTGTTGGCTGGAAGTACTGTGGGTGGAGGCTCTGCTGTAAACTGGTCTGCATCCATTAGAACTCCGAAATCTGTTCTCGATGAGTGGTCTACCGATCGTAAGATTCCTTTGTTCGGGAGCTTCGAGTACCAAGCTGCAATGGATGCAGTGTGTAATAGAATTGGAGTGACAGAGGGATGTTCGCTAGAAAGTTTCCAAAATCAAGTTCTTCGAAAAGGCTGTGAGAATCTTGGTTTGAAAGTCGATTCAGTTCCGAGGAACTCTTCAAAAGATCACTATTGTGGCTCTTGCTGTTATGGTTGTAGAATTGGTGATAAGAAAGGGACCGATTCTACTTGGTTGGTCGATGCAGTTGAATCTGGTGCAGTGATCCTCACATTCTGCCAAGCTGATCAACTCATTTTGGAAAAAACCAATAACATAAGTAGAAACAAGAGATGCTTAGGAGTGATTGCAACTTCGTTGAGCAAAAACGTCACGAAAAAACTTCATATCGAGGCAAAAGCAACGATCTCGGCTTGTGGTTCTATCTTGACGCCCCCTCTGCTGATTGCGAGCGGATTGAGTAACAAAAACATCGGCAGGAATCTCCACTTGCACCCTGTCATATTTGCTTGGGGACACTTCCCTGAACAACTGTCCGATCTCACAGGTAAAATATACGAGGGAGGGATCATTACTTCCCTCCACAAGGTAGTCTCAGAAGACTCCAATGTCCACACCATAATCGAAACTCCGGCTGTTGGACCAGCCACATTTGCCACATTGTTTCCATGGACTTCCGGGCGTGATATGAAAGACGTGATGGTCAAGTATGCTCGAACTGCTCTCCTTTTTGCTCTAGTAAGAGACCAAGGTTCAGGAGAAGTAATGGTAAAGGGCAACGTCAAGTATCGACTCGACAAGGCTGATAAAGAGAATCTAAGAAATGGCTTGAGGCAGGCGCTGAGAATCTTGATTGCAGCAGGAGCCACTGAGGTGGGCACCTACAGAAGTGATGGGCAGAGAATGAGATGTGCAGGGAGAAATAAGGAAGAGTTGGAGGAGTTCCTCGACTCGGTCGATGCGGTCGGGGGGCCGCTGTCGAGGGGCGAGCACTGGACCATATACGGCTCAGCACATCAGATGAGCAGCTGCAGAATGGGGAGCACAGAGGAAGAAGGAGCAGTGGATATGAATGGGGAAAGTTGGGAAGCACAAGGCTTATTTGTATGTGATGGAAGTGTGCTACCAACTGCAGTTGGAGTTAACCCCATGATCACTATTCAATCCACTGCGTATTGCATTTCAACAAATATTGCACAGTTTTTGAATAAAGAAGAATCTATTTTGTAATCTTCCTGAAAATTTATCTAATAACTAGTCCCTTCGTCGATTTGTCTTCTTTTTTAGATTGAATCAAAGAAAAGATGATAAGCTTGTGATTACAACCTTAATCACTATACTTAATCCATCTCGAATTGCCATGGTCAACACCATGTTAACATTATAGGCTTGATGGGTTGTACAATGATATAGAATTTGAACCTCCGGACATATAAAATACTTTGGATGATTGATTATTTATATATCATGGTGTTGGATATTAAAAATTTTAAATTTAATATTAATAACTTATGGTATTAACCCGCTTACATTTGAATTATGCTTTTTTTCCTTTTAAATAAATTTAAATAGTATTTTTGGTCACATACTTTCAAAACGTTCATCCACTTTCAACTTTATTTATTTTAGTCTTCAAAATGTCCATCAATATAAGTTGATTTTTTCAAAAGGATAGGAAAAAATAGAAAAGAAAAGGAAAACACTGCTCCCACAATTGTCGAGCGAAGTTTGTCAGTAACAACTGATGAATTTGTGAGTTTCAGGTCATGGATGCTACAGTGAAGACTTACTGACTAAGCCAAATGATTAAAAAATATGCAAATTTCAGCTCTTGAAACAGATCATTGAGCAGTTCAAAGGAAGCCTGTGAAAGACATCTATTTAGTTCAGATTTTACTGCCTTCGAATCTCTCTTGAAACTAAAGATTACAAAATAGATTCTCAGAAAAACCAATATATTTACTTGTTTTGAAGTTCTCACTGAAAAACATGTTTCTCTTATGTTGTTGGTTGAGAACTTGGGATCATATGTATGTTTATCAGTATCTCCGCAAGTATAGAGTATGTTTGAGCAGATGGACGAGGTTCGAGGTCAAAACGGTCGAGACAAAGCTTTATCATCGATCCATAAAGGCTTCTTTGCTTTGTAGTAGAAAAATGCAATCATCTGAACCAATTCATCTGATGTCCGAAAGTCTGCAAAAGAATGTAACAATACGTGGGTGGTAAGTTTAAGAGAAAAAGTTTCAGAAACCGAAATGGAATGTGGCAGGAAATAAATGTGGACCTTTTTCCCTGTACAAGACCTTGTTTCCTCTTAAAAATAAAATTTGAGGGCATTCTCTAACTTTCAAAGCGTATGCTAGATCTCTCTCGATGTTGATATCGATCTTAACCGACTGCAATACAAGTTTAACCAGGCTAGAATCAGGTAAGAAACGAAGTTACTTAGACCAATCAATCTGTTTATGTGGATAAATCTGGAGGAATCAAACAGCTTAAAAACGCGCAATTTAGCCCATACCCGGGGTGGCAAGCGATCTTTTGCATTCCAGTATACTTGTAGTGCTTTCTCTAGTTCTTTCAAAGTCTTCCAATTATCAGTGGCCCTGGGAACAGAATAATCAATTCACAAGTAATTTAATATGGAATGTGTCTTCTGCAAGAAATTTCAAATTTCCTACATATATCACTCAATATTACCACAATTTTAAGTACTATAAGATAAGAATGCATGATGCATAATGCTCGTTAAGATTTAAGATAGAACAACAACAGCTATTACTTTTAAAGAACATTGAAGCCTGTTGTATTGCTACTGTTGGTCTCAGTATATTGAAGAATCGAAAATTTTCACAAATTTGAAAGGGTAGAAGGAGAGCACCTGTTATATCTTTCGAAAACAAGAACAACAAGTGGACTAGGATGGAAAGCAAAGCTCTCCCACTCCAAGCAGTTGATTTCCTTCACCCAGTTGTCATCGATTTCCCCTTCCCAGTTGATTTCAACACCATCATCCCCAACTACATTCTTGATCGGGTGCTGTTCGAAATATTCCGATGCTCGAACTCCCCATCCCACATCAGCATCCAGTGGCCAATTCGGATCTTCTTCCTCCACTACCATCTTCTTCTTCTTCTTTCTTCCAGTTCCATCACTTTCATCTATCTCCTCTTCCTCCTCGTCATCGTCGTTGTCGCTGCTGCTGTCAAACTCAACCTTGTCATCAGCTCTTTCCTTGAATACATTCTCCTTATTTTCCATTACTTCTGCATTTTGCTGTCGAATCGATGCAAATGTTTGTTCAAGTGTGTTGCGAACAAAATCTTCAAGAGCTGCAGCTTCACTTCTACGGCCACGTCGAGGCTTCCTCGGGATCGTTGATGGAAACATCCTAGCACCATTTTCTTCCTCCTTTTCAGAAGCTTTGGCCTTCTTACTGTGACTTCTTGATTTCGGTTTCACTTTAGAATCAGCACTAGGTTGAGGGTCATGTTCTGAATTGGATTTAGATGAAACAGCAAGGTAAGGAAGTTTTCGGCTGTGGCTATAGGGTACAAGGTTCAGCAGAATACCATCCGAATGATATTTAGAATAACAAGAAGGCTTAAAAGTCCGATATTCAGTAGGGACCGTCAAGAACCGATGCAAACTAAAAGCATTACGTACTGCATATTGAGGTGAAACTGACATCGAGATGGAAGAGGCTTGGAGAAACATCATTTCCTCAGTTTCCAAAATACAATTACATAAAAGGGGACTGGCGTAGAWTGGAAATAAGCAGAGAGGACTGYTTCAAACACAGATGAGACCAAAACAAAACAAAAATGAAAGCAGCCACAATTGCCCAATTCCTCTGCAGTTAGACCCTTGACTTAACCGAATACCTCAAATTCAGGTCTCCTCTTAAGCTTACACATGCACTTTATATTGATACCTAAGCATAGAAATAAAATTAATTGCAGAAGACAGAAACCACAATCATAAATTGATTTTCAACACATCAAGACATGCATAATTTGTTCCCTTCCCTCTTACAAGTCTTCAAACTTGACTGCAATCAAATGGACAAAAGACTGTATCAAGTGGCCTAAACACTTCATTTTCAATTTCTCACGACACCCACTAAAACTAGACAAGAAACACCTTCAATGGTAGCAAAAGGACAGAGGGAAAGAGTACCCAAGGGAAAAATCGAAGTGATAATAGAGGCAAAAGTAGAGCAAGAGGGTGGAAATTTGAGCAAGTTTGGAAGCAATATTCAACATACCATTATTGGGTGCCAACTGAAAGCGGGGAAAATGCTGCCGAAAGATGTATGGAGCTTCCGTGGCCCAAATGTTTCAAGCTTTTACAGAGTCGCAGTCGCGCGGGGAAAGAAAGAACCAACTCCCCATATCCAAAGAGTCTCTCTTGGAAGGATAAATATCAGGTMAAATATCCATTTCTACTCCCTAAACTTGGAAATTAATTTTATATTCACGATAACCAACCTATCGAAATTTTGCCATTAATAAAATGAATGCTTATTCTCAGTTTTTTAGTTCTAGAGAAGAACAGAGTTTCGTGGGAAGAAGTGAAGTTTTTGTTTTTTTTTTTTTTCCTTTTCAAATATAACGATGGGTGAAAATTTGAATCCATGATCTCGATCATATATGTCAATTACCACTTAGCTGTATTTATGTTGCCGAATCTATTTTATCTTTTTACCACCTTGATTTTTTTAGAAGACCTATTACTTTGTATTAAATATGCAAATACCATAAATTATTTCGAGGAGTTAGAGTGGTTTTGCTTACCTTTCCTACCTTTAAAGAAATTATAGGTTTAAATTTCAACTCCTAATATTCGTGATGACTTAATAAAAAGTAAAATCATTGAATTTAGTCTGTAACAATTTAGTTAATAAACTTTTGTGTGTAACAATTTAGTTCTTATAGTTAAAGTTTGTAACAATTTGGTCTATATCGTGATTTTTTTTGTATTAAGTTTCTTATATATAGATCGATAAATCGAGCCAAAATATGTTTATAAAGTATAAGACTAAACCGTTATATGATAAAAATTGACACTTAATTTTGATGAAATTTTTTATCGCATGGACTARATTGTTATAAATTTTAAATTATAGAGACTAAATTACATACTAAAGTCTAGAGACTAAATTGTCACCAATTCAAAAGTACATAGATTAAATGGTTACAAACTAAAGTTTAAAAATTAAACTGTTGCTTTAACAAAAGTATAAAAATCAATTGTGTTTTTTAACCGCCAACTATAGCATATTTCTATAGGTTAAGGCATATTTATCGAATCATGAGTTTAAGAGTTCCATCCCTCGAACCAACGTGTTGTTCTCGAATTTTTTTTTTAACCAATTGAATAAATCCTAAACAAAAAGGTTGGCAAATGCCAATGAGTCTGTCACTCATTTATCACTGGTTAAAGAAAATAACAAATTTATCATTATATCCTTTTAATTATATAAATTAAAAAGTTATTTTTATTCCTCTTTCAGCGTTTCCTTTTATTTGTTAAAAAACAAAAAACAAAAAACAAAAATAATTACATCTAAAAAATAATTAAAAGAGAAAACCCTAAATTCTACCCTYCCGACTCCTTCTCTTCCCCTCTTATTTCTCCGTATCTCAGCCGCTCTGTGTTTCTCTCTGCTGCAACGCGACGCGCCGGCACGCCTCTCCGTCGCAACTACGCCGGTACGCCTCCATCTCCCTTTTCTTTCTTCTCTTTCTATCTCATTCTCTGCACGCCGGCACACCACGCTTGTGCTCTCCTAGCACCCCTCCATCTCTCACTCTCTAGCACACAGATCAAAGGTTTTTTTTTTTTTTTTTCTGTCAATTCGACCAATCTCACGTTATGTAAAATTGGAATGAGGTCAACTTTAATTTAAAAATCCTAACACTGAAAATGATTTGAAGTCCTTGCAAATTCAGGCGGGAATAAGGGCGTAGATTTCTAGTTCTGATACCACTAGTTTCTTTAGCGCACGAATTGAAATTTTCTCTGTGTTTTGCGAAGTTTTTATATGACCAATCGTTCTGTTTCTGAGTCGTTCTCATTAATGCTATATGTGTAGTTAGCTGCTGTTTTGAGTATAATGTATGCTCTACATTGCATCTTGATCCTTTGTTTTCTAGTTGATCGCGTTATATGGAGGCGACATAATAATCTGCTGCAGGCAATTTTTGTTTATATTAAAATTTTTTTTGGGTGATTAGGACTATTATACACACGTTTTGGGTTTTCACCTTCTTCTCAAGAATCCTTCATTTTGTTTGGAACTCTTCAACAAATAATATTTACACGTTAAATGTGTCGTAAAGTTTGGATATTGCTGGAATTTGCATAGTTATTACTTGACTAGAACTCTTAAAAGGGAAAAGAAAAAGTTTAGTCACGTATGTGCTTTTCTGATTTTCATGATAATGACCTGAATTGTTCTACATTTTTCATGAACCTGATGATRTGCAGATTTAGTTACAAAAATCAAGTGGCAGGAATCACATTTTTGCTTTTTCTATTGCTTATATCAAAACCAACTCTTGTAGGGTCTTGCAGAATCGAGGTTTTGTAATTAAGCTTCAAATTTTTAGAGTGAACTGATTGGTTTTTGTGCAAACAGGTATGGCTCCAAAACAACCGAATACAGGCCTTTTTGTCGGGCTGAACAAGGGGCATATAGTCACCAAGAAAGAGTTGGCCCCACGCCCCTCTGATCGCAAAGGAGTAAGTTAACATATCCCTCAATGTATTAGAGTTCATGCAATAGTTGGAAGTGGAAGCCATTGGATTTTCTTTGTTTAAACATGTTTTTCTAGGGGATGCTATTTACCTTATTTTAAATTTCCTGTTAAGACCACATCATTCTGAAAAGGTTTTGTTATATTGTGCATCTATCATGACTAATTAATGTAGAAAACAAGTAAAAGGGTTCTCTTTGTCCGGAGCTTGATTCGGGAAGTGGCTGGTTTTGCCCCATATGAGAAGAGAATCACTGAGCTTCTAAAAGTCGGAAAAGACAAGCGTGCTCTTAAGGTAGCCAAAAGAAAGCTCGGAACTCACAAGAGAGCTAAGAAGAAGCGTGAAGAGATGTCGAGCGTTCTAAGAAAGATGAGGTAATCTTTTAAGAACAATATTTAGGTGCTAACTGGTGAACATTTTTATGCCGACCATCATTTAAAAATTATCTAGTTTTGCATATTCCTCTCTTATTTGTMAAAAATTTAATGATGGTCAAAGCAAGATAGGTGCATTTCCCATCCTTTAAATGGTCTTCGGACGAAGTTATAATTAAGATTCTGATTCCTTTTCTGGATGCGTTTTAATTGCAGGGSCGGTGGAGGTGGTGAGAAGAAGAAGTGAGATCTACACTTCTCTCATTCTTCTCTCATTCATTCAAAGCTTTTACTTTCGGCTTCTCATTTTTTGTTGTTTTACTATCGAATTTGTTACAAGACCGAGCTCTATTTAGTTTGCGTGCTAGTAGATTAAATTCTGTTGTCTTTGGATTTGTTTTACTAATACCCAATTTTGTTACATCTCAAGTCATGGTTTTGAGTTGTTTGTACTTTTAGATATTCACTCAACTTGCAACATCATCTTCTCCTGCGTTCACTCTCATGTCAAATTATTGATATTTATAATCCTATTATCAATCTCAGTTACTTTTTTTTTTTTTTTGAACTTGAGATGTGCTGGGAAGTTCATATGATTATGTAGTGACATGCTGATGGGAAGAAACTGAACTGCAAACTCTAATCTCCTTCGTTAACGATCTTGTTTTTAGTTTTAGGCTAGGTTGTSTAGGTTGTTTGGCTTGATTTTTTTAACACTCCCAAGTCTGGCATATCTTTCGAAAATATATTTTTAATAGCCTTTTAGTTTACTTTAAATTGTTTAATGAGTTTAAAAGAAAACTTCCTATATCCTTATTATGTTTTTACTATTTATTTTTGAAATTATTTTTAATTGATTTATCTTTGTAAAATGCCTATCGATTATGATTCTCGGGTGACATGGATTTAAGATAATGGTATAAAATCAAATGTATTTGATATGAAAAGATTATCAAATATATTTTATGTTGTTTTTTAAATTTATATTTTTCTTTTGGTGGTTCAAATGGAATTGATAGATGTAAAACTTGTTAGTGGGAAGACTTCTATACAATGTTATTCTGTCGGGAATTATCCTTTAGATTTCTTTTCCCTCTAGTTGAAAATTTTGATATATATATATATATATATATATATACATATATGATTTCTTCTTATAACAATTTCATTTTAACTTAATTTTTATTTAAAAAAACTATACTTTTTTTAAAGCGTGTTTAGAAAATAGATTAAAAAGTTTTTTTATTTGTGCAAAAAGATAGAAAATTGTGTGAATAAAGAAAATGAACAAAAAGAAATAAGAGCAAATGAGTAGGACCTGYTTTTGTACTTATGTTCATAAAGGAACAAGACGAGGCAAAGTGACATTCATAGTCCAGTCCATAACTTTCATAAAAACCGTATAATTTTTTTCTATATATATTTTTTAAAATTACACTATCCAACATAAATGTAATATTTAATTTTAAAATGTCACGGCTTTTCATTTTTTTAATATGGCATAAATTTAACTTTTCTAAATCTACTTTATATAATATTTAAGTTTAAGTCTGATTTTGACTGTGCGATTTTTTGTAAAATTTTAAATTTGATACTATTTATGTACATATCCCTATTTAAAATAATTTTTTAAAAAATTAAATAAATAAATAAAAGGAGCTTGCTTGCCAAAAATTTCAAACTTAAGGTAAATTTCCATAGACAATTTACCCAGTTTTCATTTGATCTAACTTTTTTTTAATCAATTTTTTAAAAAATACAATAGAAAGTAGATTAAATTTTGCTTAAAAAAAACTAGGTTAAAATATTAGTTTGGTACATTCCATGTACTTTTAAAATATTCGTTTTGGTGCCTCTACTCTCAATTTTAGTTAATTTTTTAGTCCCTATACTTTCAAAATGTTCATTATGGTATCTGTACTTTTAAATAGTGACCACGTTGGTCCCTTAATTTTATTTTTACTCTCATTTTTTTTTGTTATCGCAATTTCAATGCAACGCTGCAGTCAATATATTTCTTATAATATAAACATAACTTTATACTAAAGTGTTTTTGTTTTGTGTAAAATTTATGTTAAAATTTTGTAAAGCAAGACTAGAATTATCACTTCTTAAATATAGAGGCTAGCATGTTCAAAGTACATAAACTAAAATGAACCAAAGTTAAAAATACATAAAAAAAAATAAACATTTTCAACGTAGCAAAGTGAGACTACCTAGTGATTTTTTTAAAGATAAATCTACCCTAGTGAGTATTATTCATGATTATCATCTTTTTTAACGAATCCATGATTGTCATTGATACTAGTAACATCGTGTCAAGAAAATATTAATGGAAATAAAAGATTTTAGTCGGTCGAATCATTAGAAAATTTTATTGAATGGGACCCACTTTACCTATTTAATAGAGTTAATTGAAAAAATATTACAAATCTAAACAATAAAAACCATAATCTACCCAAGAGATTATTATTCATGATTATCATCTTTTAATAGTAAATTCATGATTATAATTTATGCTAGTAATTATTGGAATATTGGGAACAAAAATTTAATCGGTCGAATTATTTGAACGGAACCCATTTTACCTTTTTTTTTTTTGCACATTTAATTTTAAAAATTTTATCGACCCATAAATTTGATAAATATAATATAGGTGTATAAATAAATATATAAAGGTATTATCCATGGATTGTSGAAGAGTTAATAATAAATAAATATATAAAGCTTTCTTTCCAGCAGTGACCTAAAAGACTTTATTCTAAAGTTGGGGAACTAACAAAAGTAATTATTTAAATATCAGCATATCATAAATTATATTTCAAAGTATTTAGGGAAAATACTTTTTATTATTTAATCCAAATAATATGGAATTAAAAGAAACTACTTCATTTATTTTTTTAAATACAAAATTATTTTATTTTTTACATTAAAAACTATTTTATATGTCGATATATATATATATATATATATATTTTATAAGAACATGTCAATATATAATTGCAACTTTATTAATCTTTTTATTCATGCGTTGAATTACATAAAATAATGTAAGTGTGAAATTTCCAACAAAAAAAAAGAAAAAAAAAAAAGAAGAATCTTCTTTCTAGAATATAAAAAAGGGGGGAAATTTGTTAAATTTATGTGATAGTTGCAATGAAAATCGACATCATTAAATTAGGCGCAAAATTATCTCTTCAATTGAAGATTTTATTTGTCAATGATCTTTTGTTGGCTTCACGAATTAAAATAATGTATTTAAAAAATAAGTTTCAAACTATTATGTTTGGAGAAATTTAAAAGTTACCTATATATTGAATGTATTATGTATAATGAGTAATTACTTGCTAATTTTTTTAAAAACTAAAAATCCTTCTGCTTTATAAAATTATTCATTTTATTCATAGAATTAATTATTTTATTAGTATATACAAAAAGATCCTAATGTTAAAAAAATAAAAATAAACGTAATCACTCCTCCACTTTATAAATTTTTCTTTCTATGTCGAACATAGTAACTAATTAAGATATATATCACCTATCAAAATGTTAAAGTTTAACAAAACTAGAAAAAGAAATGGTTAGTTTGTGCATCAATATTAATAAAAGTTAGGTTAAAAAAAATTAGTGATATCCGTAATGCAACTTTAGTTTGAAACAATTTAATCCCTCTCATTTCAGATCGATAACAATTCAGTCTCTACATTTTAATATGTAATAATTTAATTATTGTAATTTAAAGTTTACGATGATTTAGTTTCTAATATTTTTTCTTTTTAATATATGTAGAGCGATAGACCAATAAAAAATAACACTTATTTTTATGGGATTTTTTACCATAGAAATTAAATTGGTTACAAATTTAAAAATATAAAGATTAAATCGTCAGACGAAATAAAATTTGATTCAAACAACAAAACGAAAGAAAAACAATAGAGGTAGTATTTATTAAAGGAAAAATTAATTCCCATAAGATTTTTTTCCAAATTTCCTTTATTCTTCCAATAGTTCGCTTCATCCATATTCCATATTTGAATTGTCAGAAGAATAATCGAATTAAAGAGAAAAAAAGAAAGAAGAGAAAAGAAAAGCAGAGTCTCTGACAGTCAGTTGATAAACGGTTTACCGCCGGCGCGTAACACAGATAGCCATGAGATGTGTGCCACGTGGCGAAAGGAAAACCTCAGACAACGTGGTAACTTACGGGSGTGGGACCCAATTTTGCATTTCGACTCAATAAATTTCTCCTAAAATTCTAATTCCTTCTAATATCTCTGATTCTAATTCTAAACCCCAAAACCAAAAAGGCCAAAGATCGTCTCCTCTTGGATTCTGTTTCCTTCCTATCAATTTTGATTTTTTTCCTTGTTTTCATCCGAAAGCAAATCCCAGAGCTTAGTAAAGGAAGAAAAAGCGAGAGAAAAAAGAAAGCCAAACAATAAAGTAAAGATTGTTCGAGCTTTCGTCTGCTTTTGGTAATTTTTAATTTCAAAAGGATTCAAAAGCGCTCTTGATTGGTGAAGAAATTCAAGTCATGGGAATTGCTGTTTCTGGCTTCTGCCTCCCCTCGCTCCTCTTTTACTTTTGGGAAAACAAAAGGTATTTGCTGATGCTCTTTACCCTTTCGTCCTATATATTTCTTGCTTCTTTAATCGCTCCGATTGTTTCTCTKCCTTATACTGGGTTCTGGGTTTTTGCGAATTTCCAAACTTTCGTTTCCTTGGATTATCATTTATGGGGTTTGCTTGAAGGAGGCTGAAGTTGGAATGTAATGGTTTAATTTTCAAGGTGGGTTTTAGAATTTTATATGGTGTTTTTGGGTTTTTCTTGGAGTTTAAGAACGCCATGTTTAGGGTTTTGATAATTAAAGACATGCTTTCTGATTTTTCTATCATGTATCAATCCTTCTTGTTTCCCGAGTTTTGGTCCGGAATTCAGACTCTCTTAATTTAAACGTTGATGAGACATTTGTGTCTTACGGCACTGTAAATGGGCTGATAGATAACAGAAGTTGCAGAACTGTTGTAATGACTGATTTTGTTTTATTTTTTGAATTTTTGAAGGCTTTGATTTATATTTGATGGTGGGTGGTTTTTGTGGTTGAAGATTTTTGGCTGCAGTGAAACAATATGAGGAGTGACATTAAGATAGAAAGGGGGAGGAGAGCTGGAAAGGGGAGGAATAATATTAGGAAGATAATGAAGTGTTTATGTTCTGGAGAGAAATTAAGACCTAGGGACGATTTGATTCCATCATCCGAATCACCTTCCGCTTTGGAGAATTCAGCAAGTGAACGCTCTTCGCGGCCTGGTGAGATCGTCAAAAAGCCAGAAATCGGCAATATAGAAGAAGCCGAGTCTTCGCTTCGTGAGAGTGGTTGTTTGAATTATGAGGTTAGATTCCTTAAGCTTTCTAGATTACAAGTTATCTTTCTTGGTTTATTGTTTCATTTACAAACTTATTTCCTGAGGAATCCTATGGAGCAAGGAAGAAACAAGTTCTTTTTTTCTTCTCTCATTTTTTCGCATTGGTTTGTCATGACAATCCAGAAGAAGCAAGGTATTGTTTTACGAAGACAAAGTTTAGGGAGGATAACTTAACAGTAGTTCATATGAGATTCATGAAAAGAAATTTAAGTGAAACAACTCATAGAGTTTTTTCTTCTCTCTACACACTTTTTTGGTCTCTCTCTTATAGTCTCACAAAATGGCTGTCATTGAAATAAAAGAGAGTTAAGAAAATAGGGGTGATTAGGATCAAGGTGATAATTAGGTTCTACGCATCATAGTACCAATATTTTTAGATATATCTTTGTTTAATTTGGAGGAAGGATTGCAATTAATTTATGCCTGTTATTTGAAGGAAGCAAGAGCATTGCTGGGAAGATATGAATATCAAAAAGGAAATATTGAAGCTGCTCTTCATGTATTTGAAGGAATAGACATCACTGCAACAACTAGTAAGATAATGATCTCCATAGCTAGAAGAGGAGAACGCCAAAGAAGACGGTCACAAAATTTTACGACCCCTCCTATGTCTATGCATGCTGTCAGTTTACTCTTGGAAGCCATCTTCCTCAAAGCAAAATCATTGCAAGGCCTTGGGAGGTTCGGAGGTATTATTTATTAGTTGAGTTCTGGGAATCTATTTATTTTGTCAAACTCTCTCTAATGTAAATTTTTGGTTAAATACCACACAACTCTGGTTTTGAGTTTTGGTTGGAATATGAGCATTCACTTTGATTTTCTTTTTCTTGGTTGTCTGAACTAAAAGGAAAAACACTGTCTGAGGGGGTTCTAAAAGTAAAAGCATCGATGCGTAGCTGATATATATTTTCCTTTTCCATCATTCTTGCAGAAGCTGCTCAATCTTGCAAAGTTATTCTGGACATACTTGAATCTTCATTTCCCGAAGGCTTGCCTGAAAACTTTGGTGCTGATTGTAAATTGCAGGAGACAGTTACAAAGGCGGTCGAGCTGCTTCCAGAACTATGGAAACTAGGTGGTTCTTCTCAAGAAGCGATCCTTTCGTATCGGCGGGCACTTCTTCACCAGTGGAACCTTGATGCAGGAACCATTGCTCAAATTCAGAAAGAGTTTGCCATTTTTCTTCTGTACAGCGGTAGTGAAGCATGCCCTCCGAATCTCCGGTCCCAAATTGACAGCTCATTTGTACCAAGAAACAATATTGAAGAAGCTATACTCTTATTTATAATATTACTTAGAAAATTTGTTCTTAAAAGGATTGATTGGGATCCATCAATCTTGGATCACCTGTCCTTTGCTCTAACAATATCAGGGGATACAAGAGCTTTGGCAGGTCAAATAGAGGAACTGCCTCCCGGGACTCTACATCGAAAAGAAAGGTACCATACTCTGGCTCTCTGTTATTACGGAGCGGGTGAAGACTTGGCTGCTTTGAATCTGTTGAGGAAACTGTTGGGTAGTCATGAGGATCCTAAATCCGTTCCTGCTTTATTAATGGCATCAAAGATTTGTGGAGAGAACTGCGACCTTGCTGAAGAAGAAATGAGTTTTGCTCGTAGAGCTCTTCAAAACTTGGATGCTGGATGTGATCAATTGGAAAATGTTGCCAATTGTATGTTGGGCGTCTCACTTTCTGTATGTTCTAAATCAGCCGCTGCTGATTCCGAGAGGTCCACCAGACAATCCGAGGCGATACAGGCACTGGAGGCTGCACGGAAAAAGACTAGAATGACCGATCCTAATGTCCTCTACCCTTTGAGTCTAGAATACGCTGACGAGAGGAAGTTAGATTCGGCACTTTATTATGCAAAGCAGTGCCTTAAACTGGAAGGTGGATCTAATGTTAAAACTTGGTTACTACTGGCTAGGATTCTCTCTGCTCAAAAACGATTTGTGGATGGTGAAAGTATCATAAATGCAGCTCTGGATCAGACAGGGAAATGGGATCAAGGCGAACTGCTTCGAACAAAAGCGAAGCTTCTAATTGCACAGGATGAATTGAAAGGTGCTATTGAGACTTATACTCAGTTACTTGCTGTTTTCCAAGTTCAGAGTAAAAGTTTTGGCTCGGGAGATAAGAAGCTACATAAGGTCTGTTTCTGTGTTTCCTTTTCATTTTATACTTATTTCATGATTGATTTGCATGTAATTAACTACATTGAAATGGATGATGTAACAGTCTCTTAAGATGATCAAGTCTTACCATTTCAATATATTTCTGTAATTCTAGATCCATTGCTATTTTACTTATCGACCGTCTTGACTTGAGTTTGCTTTAGATGTATTGTTGCTRTCATTTAATGGTTTTTGGTGCGGCACTTTGACAGAGCCGCAGAAACTATGCTAGAAGTTTGCAATTGGAAGTGTGGCATGATTTAGCTCTAGTTTATATAAGGCTCTCACAGTGGCAAGATGCCGAGGCATGCGTTTCGAAGTCGGAGGCCATCTGTTCTTATTCAGCTTCTAGATGTCATATCACTGGTAAGACATTATTATCAGATAGATTATCTTATCCTTACTTTGTTGTTAAGCTTCTCTTCTCTTTTGAATGGACGATTTTGAAGGCGMCCAAAAAACATTTAAGATCATTTTAACTCCCTATCATAATAGATGCCATCGATTTTGTGTAATACAGGATATACAGATCTGATGATAATATCTTGTGATTTGAAGAAAACTGCAATATTTTCAATATAGTTTTTAGCTCAATCATCTGATGTTGGTATTTGGAACTTGTTATACTGACTACAGGTGTGCTTTATGAAGCAAAAGGCTTGTACAAAGAAGCTCTGAAAGCTTTTGTGGCTGCTCTGGACATCGATCCCATCCATGTCCCGAGCTTGGTTTCGTCTGCCATGGTTATCAAACAACTCGGCCACGGATCGCATCCCGTTATACGAAGCTTTTTGATGGATGCTCTACGGCTCGACCAGACGAACCATGCAGCATGGTACAATCTTGGGCTATTCTACAAATCTGAAGGTACCAAGTCATCGTTGGCAGAAGCTGTTGAGTGTTTTGAGGCTGCAACTTTTCTTGAAGAGACTGCTCCTGTTGAACCCTTTAGATAAAACAGAACTGCTCAAGTATTCTTTTAAACAAATTATTTTCCTTGTGTATCTTCTGCTTTCAAATATAGTTTATACCCTCATATTGTACAACAACAGAAAGTCAATAAATGGAAAAGTTTCTTTCTATGATTCTTTATGGTTTCAGTTCCCCTTCTCTCAATCAAACTCGATTATTTTGGAATTAAACCTTTTTCCTTCTTCTCAATAAGTTTTAACCTAGAAGACTGCTTTTATTCCAATAGCATGAGAAAAAATGGGAGATGAGCAGATATTTTCAGGACCTTAGTTTTACATCCATTCATACAAAAGGTTAGTGTCCTCCATGGACTATGAAAAATGTTTAGTAGTTACCAACTTTTAATTTCTTGTCTAACTAGTTTTTTTGAATTTTGATAAAAAAAGTTGAATTTTGTTTCTAATATAACAACTTGACTTTTCAATTTGATATCTAATAAGTTATTGAAATCAATAAAAAAATGTCTAATAAGTCATAACTTGTTAGATATTTATTAAGGTTTAGGAACCCATGACCTTTCCATTTGCCACTCCAGACCCACGAAGACTTGTCTTTTTCGCTATCATTTCTGTCATGGAGCTTCGAGGAGACTTATGAATACCTTGGCTTGGCTCTAAGTCRTATGTACCAACATTCAATGTTGTATTATGCAGCGCAAAAAATTTGTCTTGGTGCATTAATTGATTCTCCAAATAAGTCATAATTATGACGAACACATTTTTACTATTGCACTAATACTTATATTGCTTTGCTATTCTGTCTAAAAATTTGGAGACTAACTAGTAATTTTGATCTTACATGATGAGATCGGGTTAATATTCATTTCATGTTTTTTTAGTATAACATATGGGAGTGGGAGATTGAACTCACAACCTCTTTGTTGGAGATATATATTAATTATCAAATTATGCTTGCTTTCATGTATTAATATCCATGTTAAAATATTAGCAGATATGAATAAGAAAAATATGTAATTTCAGTTATTATATTTCTCATATTAGAAACTTATATATAAAATGCATCACACGGTACCGTTTTACTATTATTTACTTATTTACTATATTAAAGTGGAAAAGGATTCAAAATTATTTTATTTATTATATCATAATTACAAAATAATCTACCAAAATGATCGTAGGCATTTTATGGCTTCTCCTGGGAATGTAAAGCCTAACAAGGTTAAAAAAATATTTTGTCCTAATACTTTATTAGAATAACGATATAATTTATAAAATTTAATTTGTAACGATTTAATTCATGTAAATTGGTAACAATTTAGTATCTGAAATTTAATATATAACATTTTAATCAACAATTTAGTTTAAAAAAATTCATCAAAATTAAACATCGATTATTATTATATAACACTTTAATCTTTCTAATTTATAAATACATTTTGTTTTTATTAATTTATTAATCTAATATTTTTTTACAATAGAGATTAAGTCAGACAAATATTAAACTAAAAATACTATACTACGCAGACTAATTACTTAATTTTTTAACCAAAAAAGAATGAAGACAAAATTTACAGGAATGAAGTGGGTAGATTTGAAAAGGCATATTCTATAGGGACCTGAATGTAAAATAAATTGGATAAAGATTTTTGTATGTGAATTAAAAATTTAGTTTCACACGATTATCCACTGTGCTGTGTCCAAAGAACAGCACGCCGACAGAGCACTGTTTTCAAAGACAAACACAAAAATCGCCACAAACAGACAAAAACAATGGCCACAAACATGCTCTGGAGCAGAATGTTTATGTGAGAGTASGATAGGTACATTTTCGCTGCCCAATTTCGAACCCCACGCCATTGTTCCATCAGGTTCTGCTTTTCACACATCTTAAAATTCGAAAGCTCTGTTTTTTTTCTTCTTCTTTTTGGGAGAAAGGGTAGCGCCGATGGAGGAAGCAGGGCCGTCGTCGGCCGGAAATTTTGACGAGCAACGGCGAGAGCAGCCGGCGGAGGAGGCGAGTGGGAAGCAGAGTGATGCTTCCGAGGCCGGAGAATACGATGCTGATGATAAAGATGGTTTCACTCCTGGGCCTCTGCTTTCACTCAAGGAACAGATTGACAAGGATAAGGTCTCTCTCTCCCCCTTTTCAAATCCCCATTTTGGTGTGGATGATTGAGTCTGGTTCTTGGTTGTAGCTTTTGGATTAAAGGGTGTTTTTTGGTTAGGGCTATGGTTATAGGTTAGGGTTCACCTCTTGTATTATGCTCATGGCCTACCCCGTAGATGCTGAGGAGGCTTTCACCCACTCAAGGCTACCTATAGTAGACAACAGAGGTTTTAAGTTAATAAGTTTTAAATTTTGGGGCTTGAACCTATAAACTTGGGTATCTACAAACATTTCAAGCACTTACCACTAGGGCACCCCTTAGGATATCTGTGCATATTCATAAACATTTTTTACTCATCCCTTGCAACTTGCAAGTGTGGCTCTAAACCTTGCTAAACAATTAATGCCTAGATGACCTTATTGAACATTAGAAGGCAATCACTTGGAACAAGTGACTTTTGTAGGGTCTCTGAATCCCGTATCAATGTTGGTTGTGCCTTTACAGGATGATGAAAGCTTGAGGAGGTGGAAAGAAAAGTTGCTTGGTTGCTTAGAAAGTGATCTGAGTGGTATATATTCTCTGAATTCTTTCTTCAATAATCCATACTTTTGTTGCACTTGTACATGTACTTGAACATTTTGCTTTCTTTTACATTAGAACAAATGGAACCTGAAGTCAAATTTCACTCCATTGGAATTATTTCTGATGAGTCTGGGGAAATCAATACTCCATTGCCTGTTAACGAAAATCAAAGTCGTCGTGTTCTTTTCACTCTTCGAGAAGGATCTCGGTACCAACTTCGGTTGACATTTACTGTCATGCATAACATCGTCTCGGGCCTGACCTACTCCAATAAAGTCTGGAGAGGAGGATTGCTAGGTACGTGAAATTTTAATGTCCTACTTTTCTTAAAGCATGCATTTTAAAGTCAAATCTTAACTAATTTTTTAACACTGCTATTTTTCTTACGATGTTAGAACAGCATTTTATATGGTGAATAACAAATGTTGTAAATTTTAATCATGATCTTACACAACTTATACATCCTTTTAGTCTACCATTTTCCATCTACAATCAAACCTTGCATTATGATATAAAATTCTTTACCTTAGTGTTGCCTTTACCTCATAATTTCAAAATTCGTTACCTTATACTATCTTCTTTTTCACTCGTTTTTTTTTCTTTCCAAGTATGTATGCTTTTTTACTATCACAATCTTTTTCCTCCCATCTTTTTATCTTACTTTATACCGAGGAAGAAAATTATCTACTTCAAAATCATAACCACTATTCATTTTGTTGTCTTTATAACCTATTGTGCTTGTGTTTTTGGCCGTTGTTGTCAGTTGATCGGACACAAGGAATGTTAGGTACTTTTGCTCCTCAGCGGGAACCATATGTCGAAACCTTGGAGGAGGAGACCACTCCATCTGGTGTTCTTTCAAGGGGAATTTACTTGGCAAAGCTGAAGGTATGCATAAATAAATACACGAGTGCAGGCACATTGTTGAGCCTCACACCGAAACGGTTACTTAAGAGCCCAAATTTAGTAGTCCATACTTTAGTCACCATAATCATAAGTTCATATGAAAGGGAAGTCCACCTCATGCACAATGGGAAAAAGTAAAGAATACTTGAGCAAGAATGACTCTATTGATACGTATTGTCATATAGTTCATCTAGAAGACGATTAACAATCTCTGAGATCATCACAAATTTCCCAAAAAGTCTAAAATGCAAAACCTGGGTCAAGTAGTTCTCTCGGGAAGATTGATGCATATGGTATACTTTAGCTGATTTTCCTTCTCATTTATACTAATTCATTTTTTTGCTAGAGGCTTGTTTGAAACTTTCTTGAATTTCATACCTTAATTAGTTGGGAGGTGTTTTGTCTTTTGGGTGGATAAAAATAATTGTGGACCTTGTGGGAAACCAGTGAAAATGAAAACAACAGCCAGATATGGTGCATACTATCAAGATTTGCATACAAGTTCTTGAAGGATGAACTTGTGCTTGAGAATCTGAAATATATACCAGGAAATATTAATTCTTCTTAAATATTAGCAGTTTATCTAAAAGTTGTATATAATCTTTTATTTAATAATTGGAGTATTGGAGGTCCTACACCCTGCATTATGCTCATAGCGTTCTCCACTAATCTCTAGAAATTTTCCATTTTGCCCACCCCTCCAMTCTACCAAAAAAAGGTCTTTTCTATTCCAATGTCAGAGACAACAAGGATTTAAAATTATTTAATTTCCACTTAGAAGCTTAAATCTAAGACCTTGGAATGTATTTCCAATCATCTCAAGACCTTACCATTGGGACCACCTTGGGGGCGGTCATAATACTGTATATATTGGTTCATTCCATAAGAAACAATTTCATTGATGCTATAAAATTACAAAAGAGGGAAGTATACCCATCCAAGGAAGTTACAATAAACTTTTCTAATTGGATAAAGAAAAAGCTATAATGGTGAAACATTGGGAGCATTTACACCATGATATAACTAATAAGATTAAACCATTAAAAAAAACTATCGAAATGACGCTCCTTGAAGATTCTATAATTCCTTTTTGATATGAAATTCTCTTGTGCTTGGAGTATCAGGTGGCTCAAGTCATTAGTCAAGCACAATTCAAATGGATGCTTGAGCCACCTTTGGAAGAAATCAAAGAAGGATGACTATGGCCTATTTGGTAACGTTCCCATTTCTAGTCAACACCCATGGATTCAAGCATGATAAAACAATAGTTTTATTTATGTTTTGGAACAAATTGGAAATCGGAACAAGAAACAAGAAACTTGAAAATGTTTCTAAAAAAAATGAGAAATAAAAAACGTAAATAGTTAAAAATGGTTAGGTTTCTTAATAAAATTAGAAACGAGAAAGAAGAGTGGGAACGTTATCAAACAAACCCCTAATGTCTCGTTTTTCTTATATGTTAAATAACTGCTTGAAGGGATGARAGAAAAATTCTCTCATTGCTTTTTGATGAGGGATTTCTATCAGTGACATAAATTGATTTTGATGTGTTTTTTGAACTAAAAGCTTTCTGTCCAATTAACATATTCTTGTGCTTTGCTGTTGAATATAAGATCACGTTGCATTGTTTATATGGATGAATTGCAGAAATCCATCTGGTTAAACCTTTATTTGTTGCTTTATCACAGTTCGAAGATGACGACAAACGGTGTTACATGGAACTCGAATATTCCTTTGAGATCAAAAGGAGCAGTTAGCTCGGTTCACTTCACATCGAGTCGATGCACGTCTTCTCCCTTTGCTAGGACCATTCCTCCCTTTTCTTTCTTAATTGTTTTCGTTCATTGAACTATGTCATCATCTTTTTTCCCCTCTTCCTTTTTTAATCCACAGTTGGAATTGTGCAATTGGTTTTTGGATTTTCATATTTATTCTTGTACTTCCAAAAACCTCCCTCAGAAACCAAATTTTGAATCTTGAAAGCTAGGAAATTGTTTTGGAGATGGAAAAGTGAAACATTCATAACCTACATGTGTTCCTTCTCATAATATTAGCACCTTTACATGCAAAACTATTGACAGAGCATACTAACAAAACATCTCAACTAAATTTTGGGGCATTATTTTCACTGGCATACAACCGAGTTTTTCATATAATAATTGGAAGAGAAGCTCTACTGACGTTTCTTCTATTTTTTACAATGTTTGTGAGTTGAAAATGTTCTTTACCCTCGAGGATTCTAGGCACCAACACCTTCCCTGCTTTCTCCGACTCTGAAGCATTATTAACCTCTCGTTTTAGCTGGAATTTGCCATTTTGGCTACAAGAAATTCTATTTGTGCAACCTGCAAGTTATGGAGGAAGACAACAGCTGGAGTAAAACGTAATGATTACGAATCTCGTTATCTATATTATATTATATAATGCAAAAAATGTATATTTACCCATCCACAACACATCTGGGAGTGGTGTTTAATTTTTAATCGAAGATATATACTTTAACCACAAACTCAGAATTTTAATTTTAAAACAACCAAACATTAATGCATGGTTAGAGAATGCATTTTCAGTTTCTATATTTTCACGCTTCGTAGGTCATTTCAAAAAATTCAATCCGCAGCACCAAATCCTTTATTAAAACAAAAAACAAAAAACATATAATAATTAAATGGCCAACACCCCCACATACTCATTTCATTACACCCCGTAAAAATTAAACTCTTAATTTTCACAAATAATAAAATCTCAACCTCTAAATTTTCAATAGTAAAAATTAAACTAGAAAAAGAATAGCCGTCGGATAAATGTAGGGCTCCTTTCGAGTTTAAGTTGGCAGCTTCGCAGACAGTCCGACCTGCAAGACATGATTCACCTTCGACGAGGTAGGTTGCAAAGGAGATGACATTACAAGTTTTAACAATAGGAACACCGTCGACGAGGTAGGTTCAACCGTACGGGCAACTTTGGGATTCACCACCCGAGCGATGCATCTATCGGATTTAGTCAGAGCGGCGTCGAATACGACGGAAATGGAGCACTTAGAAGAATCACAGGTCCAATAGAGGAGTGTAGAGAGGAAGGGGAGATGGATATAGTGAAAATAGAGGTGATGTTTGCAGAAACAAACAAAAAGACCAACCCAAAAACCGACGCTGCTAAAGATAGTTGTATGGTTTAACTTTTAATAAAATTTTAAGTGAGTGTAATTACAACCACTACCATATTCTAAGAGTGATTTCTACAATTTGTCCAAATTAAATCATTCACATTAAATATCCTCATATGGTTAGACCATATAATATATATTATAGGGTCTCACTTAAATTTTGTTGTTTGTCAACTTTACTCACTTGGTTTGGTTTTAAAGCATAAATTGCTTGGCATAAATCTTCTCCCGGTYAAGGGAGATTTTGTGAAGTTTAAATCAGAACAGAATATCAATAAACAAAACTAAGGTTTATTTTAATCGCAGAACAAAATCAATAAATTCTTATACAAGATAAGGAGTTGGTCCTATGCAATTATAACATCATTTGGTTAACCTAAGCTAGTTTTACGTATATATCATTGACCAAAAATCAGAGGTTCAAGTCTCTGCTCCTACTTGAATTCAATTAATAATAATAATATTAAAACATCATTGGTCTAACACTAAGATAGCCAAAAAATGTCACGAAATTCAAACCGGTTCATGCAACTCAAACCACAATTTGGAAACCATAAATTTTCTCAACCCGTAACCTAAATACATTAAAATCCCCAGACGAAAAATATCTAATCTATGAACTTGCATCAGATGCTTATGAAGATACAAATACCATAGTCAGAATCAGCATGAGAGAACAGACTCCAATTCAGAACTTACTTCAAACAAAAATTCCGACTTCGAGAAGCAGCTAATCATACAAAACGAAAACTAAAAGAATTCATCCAGAAGAGAATATCTATAACCTAAATGAGAAATATTGATTCACATGTTAATTTATGGGTGAAATGGTAAATGACAATAGTTTACAACGGAAAGAAAAAAAAAAAAAAAGTAATAAAACAACCAAACAAGTAGATGCTGGAAACTAAGGGATGGAAGAAGGTGATGCCGCCTATGTAACTCCCCTAGCTTGCCAAGCACTTGCTATACCACTGATATTTGAGCTAAAATCTGGGATCACGTACATTCAAAATATTGAAGCAGAAACTGAAGGTTAGGATGACAAAACATAGATGAGTTTAGGATAATAAACAGTATGTTGCACCTGCACGCTAAAAAACCTATATGTTATATTGGTGTGATTTTTGTTATACCTTTGGATTCCATAGAGATGAAGTCGGTTATCTTGATCAGGATGATATCTAAGTTCCTGGGTTCAATTGTACAAAGCCAAACAACTGAACTAACCACCTTAATAGTCCAATATTAAGTAGTTATGCCAAAAATTGTAGAAAAAAGGGCATGAGATCTAAACTAGAGAACGGATGAAAAAGACTTACTTATGCCCACAAGAATATCAAGGTGACATACCACAACAGAGATGGGCGGTTGAAGAATATCCGAACCTCAGTCCATTAGCTGCATGAAAGATTTGTTAAACAATGCATTCAGCAGCTCCGAAACTCCACCTGAAATTCCTGTGCATGCCACAAATCCCATTCAATAACTTGTGCTAAGCACAGTTCGAAACTCAAAAATGATCCTTTTTCCTTATATAAAAACACTATATCAAAATAATTCTCCATCTCTAGAATATCAGCTAAAATGATGTTTACTTGGCTTTCAATAATCTGGAAATGAACGAAGTTGTAAAGATCCCCCCATAACAAGGAGAAGCTGATGGCGTATTCTACCTGAATGCTACAAGTAAGCCACATCCACTAAGGAACTGCAGAAGCCCAGTACTTAGCAAACATTGAATGCATAAAAAGAAATAGAGCTACATCTTATACCAAAATTACCACGAAAAACAATAAGTTTGCAATATAATAAAAATATATAGAATATCCTCATAACCACCCATCATAAACATAAAGAAAAGTAAATAGATACGATTCTAGCTTCTACATGAGATTAAGAAAAAACATAAAAGAAGTTTATCAATGTTTTCAATTTTCCAAATGCTCACAACAATAAGCAACCTCAAAATAACAAGCCTAAAAATAAATATTACTACTGCTAGAAAGCAATGGACATATTCAACTACAGAATTACTACTGCCTGATAGCACTGAGAATGAAGAGATCCAACCATTCTCAGGATCTGTAGCTATCCAGCATAGGTCTTGCACGTGGAAAAGGATGGCATGTGTAAACATTTGGTGACTGGTTAACCATGCCTGGACTGAGTGCCACCATATCCACCACCATAAGCACCAGGAGTCTGTGAAGCATCAGATCGCCAGCCACCACTAGAGTAACCTGAATTTCCATTGGTGTCACCATAGCCACTCCCCATGTACCCACCACCACTCATGCCATGTGGCTCTCCACTTGAACCACTACCAACATTGCTATTTGGGGCGCTCGTAGCTCGTCCACCAGAGGCTCCATAGCCACCATAAGGACCATCACTTCCACCATAATAACCTTGATTCCCATACCCAGAAGCCCCACTAGGAGATTGGCCCCTCGGGGCAGAAGGAGGTCCACCAGCACCTGAGCCACTCCAAGGAGCTGCAGCCCCAAAGCCTGGACTAGCACCATAGCCAGGGCCACCATATCCAGGAGCTTGATTGGTCCAAGTACTTTTCATGCCCCCAGGTGCTCCACTTAGATAACCAGCATTGACTGCACTTGGATTTCCAAATGGTCCAGCTGGACCACCAAATCCAGCACTAGCACCACCATACATACCAACACCATAACTACCATAACTTCCATAAGGAACGCCACTGTTTGGTCCTCCATACCCATAACTTGATACACTATATCCAGAATATGGGGGGAAACCGCCAGCAGTAGACTGAGGTTGCATATATCTATTACCATCTGATCTACCATCAAAGTTGTTAACGTTAGTGCCAGAAGCACCATAATTCTGATAGCCTCCACGCCCACCACTTCCTGGATTTGCATCTTTAGGAAGTGCACGTTTCACCTCTACAAGTTTACCATTCAGTTCATGAAAGCTCTTATAAAGTACTCTATCAACAGAATCTTCATTGTCAAAAGTTATGAAACCAAATCCACGAGGTCTCTGAGTATTTTGGTCATACATTATCACTACATCAGTTACTTGGCCATAATTTTCAAAATACTGTCGGAACCCATCTTCAGTTAGTGCCGAAGGCAGACCTCCCACAAATATTTTTTTGGTCCTAAAATATCCACTACCTCCGGAGCTTCTGCCAGAGTTAAAACTCCCACTTCTAGAGGAAGTTTGTTGTTCCTCTCTTGATAACGCCCTTTTTGCCTCCACCTGTGTCAACAAAGAAAATTTTAAAATTGCTGAGAAGACCTCGTGGGAATGCAAATAAAGGAGACGAATTCACTGCATGCACATGTCATCATCCTCATCAGTTGTCATGAAACTCGTAGCAAGCTAGAAAATATAAAATTTTGCAAGATTTTCAACAATATCTATACATAATCATATGTCATGATGGGTTAAGTTGACGTCTATTGACTCCCTCACTCAAACCTAAATTGACTTGCTACAGTGCAAGGACAGGAACCAGAAAGGCATGTGCTAGATAATCAACTCCTCAGGCATACAGGTTCCTTCCCAAAGTAGGGATACATTCACTTTGGTCCAAAAATCACGAAGAAAAAATCTAGTATCATGTGGCGGTATAACTGTCATAAGAGTTCACTATCAGCCCAATAAGATACAGCTCATGTGTTCCAGTATCAAACGAATCATAAACCACAGAACCAAATTTCGCATAAGCTAATGGAAGTACTTACAAAGTCTAGAACCCTAGGAAATACGATTACTAATGAACCGAGTTAACTATACAATTGAGAAGGGTACCAATTATAAAATGATCCTATAGCGCAATTCCAACTTCCCTAGCAGTTGAAAGAGGAAGGGGGAATCGCCAAAGACGAAATAACCCAAGCGTTAAAATAAACTATTCTGACCAGTTCCTTACTGTTTAGGACCATTCCTAGGCCAGAGTCGATAACAGTAAAGTAAACCAATTACAAGCTGATGAGATAAAAGGGGACTGAGAATGGGTTTCACTAGAGAACCACTGTTAATATTGAGGACCTAATTTAAAGTAATCAGTAATCAATCACTATTACAGCTTACAAGAACATGATTCCCGAAATCCTCATAATGATAACTTCAAGAAGTAAAGCTGTCGAGGAAAAGAAACCTAATTAAGCAACGAATTAATGCATATTGAATTGCAGGAGAGGAGGGAAAACCTGGCGGCCATCGATGGTGTGCTTATCCTGAAGAACCTGATCAAGAGCGGAAGGATCAGAGAAAACGACGAAGCCGAACCCGCGGGGACGGCCAGTGGTCTTGTCGCGCATGATAACGGCTTGGATAACATCGCCAAATTGGCTGAAATAGTCCCTGAGCTTCTCCTCGGAGGTGTCCCACGCTATTCCTCCGATGAAAAGCTTCCCTTCGTCGGAGTCCATGCCTCCGTTGCCAGAAAAACTACCGGAATTTGCTGCTACTTCTCGTTCGCCAATGAGTTGGAGTTTCACTCGTCAGCTCCGAGAGATCGAGAAAGTAGAGAGAGAAAGAGAGGAATGGAGGGAAGGGAATGAGCGCGAGAGTACGAGGAGGGAAATTGGGGGCTAGGGTTCCGCAAAAACGATGTCGGTTCATTGAATAATAAAACAATTATAATTATGTAAAATAAAACAAAATCTTTACCAACAATTGGGGTGGTGGCGCAGTTGGCTAGCGCGTAGGTCTCATAGCTTCTGAGTTATCCTGAGGTCGAGAGTTCGAGCCTCTCTCACCCCAATTATACCTTTTCCTTTCATTTTCCTCTTTAATCACCAAAATACACATAATCTTGTGCCAATTTTATTTATTTCAACTATCACATAATTTTTTTTTTCTTTTGCCTTTCTTTTTCTAGAGAAAAATTATGTAAGTCTGATATTTTTTTTCCCTGACCACCAAAATACACACAATCTTTGTCCCANAAACAAGTAGATGCTGGAAACTAAGGGATGGAAGAAGGTGATGCCGCCTATGTAACTCCCCTAGCTTGCCAAGCACTTGCTATACCACTGATATTTGAGCTAAAATCTGGGATCACGTACATTCAAAATATTGAAGCAGAAACTGAAGGTTAGGATGACAAAACATAGATGAGTTTAGGATAATAAACAGTATGTTGCACCTGCACGCTAAAAAACCTATATGTTATATTGGTGTGATTTTTGTTATACCTTTGGATTCCATAGAGATGAAGTCGGTTATCTTGATCAGGATGATATCTAAGTTCCTGGGTTCAATTGTACAAAGCCAAACAACTGAACTAACCACCTTAATAGTCCAATATTAAGTAGTTATGCCAAAAATTGTAGAAAAAAGGGCATGAGATCTAAACTAGAGAACGGATGAAAAAGACTTACTTATGCCCACAAGAATATCAAGGTGACATACCACAACAGAGATGGGCGGTTGAAGAATATCCGAACCTCAGTCCATTAGCTGCATGAAAGATTTGTTAAACAATGCATTCAGCAGCTCCGAAACTCCACCTGAAATTCCTGTGCATGCCACAAATCCCATTCAATAACTTGTGCTAAGCACAGTTCGAAACTCAAAAATGATCCTTTTTCCTTATATAAAAACACTATATCAAAATAATTCTCCATCTCTAGAATATCAGCTAAAATGATGTTTACTTGGCTTTCAATAATCTGGAAATGAACGAAGTTGTAAAGATCCCCCCATAACAAGGAGAAGCTGATGGCGTATTCTACCTGAATGCTACAAGTAAGCCACATCCACTAAGGAACTGCAGAAGCCCAGTACTTAGCAAACATTGAATGCATAAAAAGAAATAGAGCTACATCTTATACCAAAATTACCACGAAAAACAATAAGTTTGCAATATAATAAAAATATATAGAATATCCTCATAACCACCCATCATAAACATAAAGAAAAGTAAATAGATACGATTCTAGCTTCTACATGAGATTAAGAAAAAACATAAAAGAAGTTTATCAATGTTTTCAATTTTCCAAATGCTCACAACAATAAGCAACCTCAAAATAACAAGCCTAAAAATAAATATTACTACTGCTAGAAAGCAATGGACATATTCAACTACAGAATTACTACTGCCTGATAGCACTGAGAATGAAGAGATCCAACCATTCTCAGGATCTGTAGCTATCCAGCATAGGTCTTGCACGTGGAAAAGGATGGCATGTGTAAACATTTGGTGACTGGTTAACCATGCCTGGACTGAGTGCCACCATATCCACCACCATAAGCACCAGGAGTCTGTGAAGCATCAGATCGCCAGCCACCACTAGAGTAACCTGAATTTCCATTGGTGTCACCATAGCCACTCCCCATGTACCCACCACCACTCATGCCATGTGGCTCTCCACTTGAACCACTACCAACATTGCTATTTGGGGCGCTCGTAGCTCGTCCACCAGAGGCTCCATAGCCACCATAAGGACCATCACTTCCACCATAATAACCTTGATTCCCATACCCAGAAGCCCCACTAGGAGATTGGCCCCTCGGGGCAGAAGGAGGTCCACCAGCACCTGAGCCACTCCAAGGAGCTGCAGCCCCAAAGCCTGGACTAGCACCATAGCCAGGGCCACCATATCCAGGAGCTTGATTGGTCCAAGTACTTTTCATGCCCCCAGGTGCTCCACTTAGATAACCAGCATTGACTGCACTTGGATTTCCAAATGGTCCAGCTGGACCACCAAATCCAGCACTAGCACCACCATACATACCAACACCATAACTACCATAACTTCCATAAGGAACGCCACTGTTTGGTCCTCCATACCCATAACTTGATACACTATATCCAGAATATGGGGGGAAACCGCCAGCAGTAGACTGAGGTTGCATATATCTATTACCATCTGATCTACCATCAAAGTTGTTAACGTTAGTGCCAGAAGCACCATAATTCTGATAGCCTCCACGCCCACCACTTCCTGGATTTGCATCTTTAGGAAGTGCACGTTTCACCTCTACAAGTTTACCATTCAGTTCATGAAAGCTCTTATAAAGTACTCTATCAACAGAATCTTCATTGTCAAAAGTTATGAAACCAAATCCACGAGGTCTCTGAGTATTTTGGTCATACATTATCACTACATCAGTTACTTGGCCATAATTTTCAAAATACTGTCGGAACCCATCTTCAGTTAGTGCCGAAGGCAGACCTCCCACAAATATTTTTTTGGTCCTAAAATATCCACTACCTCCGGAGCTTCTGCCAGAGTTAAAACTCCCACTTCTAGAGGAAGTTTGTTGTTCCTCTCTTGATAACGCCCTTTTTGCCTCCACCTGTGTCAACAAAGAAAATTTTAAAATTGCTGAGAAGACCTCGTGGGAATGCAAATAAAGGAGACGAATTCACTGCATGCACATGTCATCATCCTCATCAGTTGTCATGAAACTCGTAGCAAGCTAGAAAATATAAAATTTTGCAAGATTTTCAACAATATCTATACATAATCATATGTCATGATGGGTTAAGTTGACGTCTATTGACTCCCTCACTCAAACCTAAATTGACTTGCTACAGTGCAAGGACAGGAACCAGAAAGGCATGTGCTAGATAATCAACTCCTCAGGCATACAGGTTCCTTCCCAAAGTAGGGATACATTCACTTTGGTCCAAAAATCACGAAGAAAAAATCTAGTATCATGTGGCGGTATAACTGTCATAAGAGTTCACTATCAGCCCAATAAGATACAGCTCATGTGTTCCAGTATCAAACGAATCATAAACCACAGAACCAAATTTCGCATAAGCTAATGGAAGTACTTACAAAGTCTAGAACCCTAGGAAATACGATTACTAATGAACCGAGTTAACTATACAATTGAGAAGGGTACCAATTATAAAATGATCCTATAGCGCAATTCCAACTTCCCTAGCAGTTGAAAGAGGAAGGGGGAATCGCCAAAGACGAAATAACCCAAGCGTTAAAATAAACTATTCTGACCAGTTCCTTACTGTTTAGGACCATTCCTAGGCCAGAGTCGATAACAGTAAAGTAAACCAATTACAAGCTGATGAGATAAAAGGGGACTGAGAATGGGTTTCACTAGAGAACCACTGTTAATATTGAGGACCTAATTTAAAGTAATCAGTAATCAATCACTATTACAGCTTACAAGAACATGATTCCCGAAATCCTCATAATGATAACTTCAAGAAGTAAAGCTGTCGAGGAAAAGAAACCTAATTAAGCAACGAATTAATGCATATTGAATTGCAGGAGAGGAGGGAAAACCTGGCGGCCATCGATGGTGTGCTTATCCTGAAGAACCTGATCAAGAGCGGAAGGATCAGAGAAAACGACGAAGCCGAACCCGCGGGGACGGCCAGTGGTCTTGTCGCGCATGATAACGGCTTGGATAACATCGCCAAATTGGCTGAAATAGTCCCTGAGCTTCTCCTCGGAGGTGTCCCACGCTATTCCTCCGATGAAAAGCTTCCCTTCGTCGGAGTCCATGCCTCCGTTGCCAGAAAAACTACCGGAATTTGCTGCTACTTCTCGTTCGCCAATGAGTTGGAGTTTCACTCGTCAGCTCCGAGAGATCGAGAAAGTAGAGAGAGAAAGAGAGGAATGGAGGGAAGGGAATGAGCGCGAGAGTACGAGGAGGGAAATTGGGGGCTAGGGTTCCGCAAAAACGATGTCGGTTCATTGAATAATAAAACAATTATAATTATGTAAAATAAAACAAAATCTTTACCAACAATTGGGGTGGTGGCGCAGTTGGCTAGCGCGTAGGTCTCATAGCTTCTGAGTTATCCTGAGGTCGAGAGTTCGAGCCTCTCTCACCCCAATTATACCTTTTCCTTTCATTTTCCTCTTTAATCACCAAAATACACATAATCTTGTGCCAATTTTATTTATTTCAACTATCACATAATYTTTTTTTTCTTTTGCCTTTCTTTTTCTAGAGAAAAATTATGTAAGKCTGATATTTTTTTTCCCTGACCACCAAAATACACACAATCTTTGTCCCAAATTTATTTATTTCTCAAACTAAAAGTTTGTAATGTTCACTTATACATGTAATTGAAAAAAACTATRTTTATAAATCTTGGTTTACACCAGAAATACTTACAAGTACCTACTTCCTTATATTATAAAAATAAAAAATATTTATTAATTAGAAAATAGAGAACTAGAATGTGTATTTATTTCATTTTGTCTATGAATTAAGTATTACTTTGTTTGCACATGAGATAGATAAAAGACCCACAATGATTAAATGGAGGGAGGGTACAAACATTGTCATATTCTTAAATTCAACATTGATTCACTTTGGTGAAATTTTGAAAGGGAACAAAAGTTTCTTTTCTTCTATTTTTCAAACAAAACAATTCTATTTCTATAAAATATATGTCAGGCCACTATATCAAAATGCTGATGTGGCATTATATTAATTATGTTTTGGATAAAGTGTCATATATTTTATTTTTAGAGACAAAAGTGTCCCAGTTTAATAGCTGATTATTCTCAAAAAAAGAAAAAAGGTTTAATTGCTGCTTGAATTTATTAAAACATTGGACTTTTTGAAATGTTGAATTAAGTTTTGAGAACGACAGTCAAGTTTGGCGTAGCTAAATTGTAATTATCAATSTTTTTTAAGTTGAATAACATATGAGTAAATGGATTTCAATATTGGACTTTTCGAACTAGAATATATTTGAACTATAGTTACATTTGATGAGATATTATTTAAATTATATTTAGTTTAGATTATATTATTTGAATTAGATTTCCTATTCGTATTATTATAAAGAATTATAGTGGTATAAATGGATTATTAGGTTTGTATCAAAAGAATTGAATTCAATGAAATTTTACATGTTACTTCCCCTATTTCTCTCGTTCCAGCAAAGAAAACTACTTCAGGTACTATTCTCCTACCTGAAATATGTGATTCAACGGTCGTAATGTGATATTGGAGGGGAATACGAGTATTCTGACACTCGAAAAGTCGTTGGGGTAAACTCTTTTTCTTGACAAAATCCATAACGTCAGGAAAAATCTACTTCTCCCCGATATTTTATAGAAAACATCGGGATAATTAAGCCACCTACCGACGTTTTCTAAAAAAGATCGGGAAAATGTTAATTTTTTCCGGCGCTTTTGAATAATGATTTAAAATAATATCAAAGAAATTCCCAAACAACTTTTCTCCCACGTTTTTTAAAAAAGGTCGGGAAAAAGTAACTTTTCCCGACCTATTTTAGAAACCGTCGGGAATAATGATTCATAATGACAAATTAAATGTACTACTAGTGACAATCTTTTGCATAATTGAAAGATTCATAATGGAGAAATAAGAGAGTGAAATTTCTGACAATGTATAGCTGGAGGTTCTTGGTTGTGCTGTTGAAGAATTGAAAAATGAAGGAGAAGATGGTTACATTTTCAAATTTGATTTTGTTGAAGGGACATATTTTAGGATCCAACCAAATGAGAAATTTGAGTGGCTTGAAGATGAAGCTCTTGCTTAGAAATAGGGAAAGGAAATTGACAATGTAACTGTTGTTTATTCATTTGTTTTTAAGAACCATCTACATCATCATATGGACACTCACTGACAGTTGGACCAATATCACTTGGGGAAAAGAGATTTTTGGGTAMAAGAAATTCTAAACCCAACTCTACTAAGTTGCTTTGACTTTATATATAAAAAAAAAAAGTGTGTTTTTTCACTTCGTAAATTGATTCTGTTGTTGCAAAAGAGGTTAAGAATTACACAAATGGTATCATAGAAGTTTGTTACAAAACACACTTCCAGTTGCATATTGAAAGGATCTCAGCGCCTAAAGTTGCAACCAAGTGTATGATCTCCACATACAAAGAGAATGTGAGAGACCATATATATGTAATGCCTATATCATACTCAAAGCAAAAACCAGGGAGCTACCCTTTCCCGCAACCTACACTGCCATTTTGAAGATTCAGTATGGACAGACTATAGACAACATGACCTACTCATCCGTCCTTTGGCGCTTTGATAGCTGAGAGCTAGATTCAGAAACATTCGGCTCAAGATTYGCCCGTACTTCCCTACGAGGAGCTTCTGGTTGCCCACATACTTCATCAGTAACCTTTTCAGATATCATGTCAGCATTAGATGGATCGGTGTGGATCGTGCGATTTTCCAACCGAGAAGCTTCCAGCTCTGTTTTGGAAGAGAATGGAGAATCCTCCAAAGTGGAGGCCGATGTTGATGCCTTTGTCAGGTTATTGCTCGATTTGCATTGTTTTTCAAACATCATCTGAAGGTACTTCCCCTGTTCTTCTATTCTTAACTGTAAATTTCGTTGGATCTGTCAAACAGTGAACAAGATAGGAATTATCTCACGGATCATAATATACCAAATGGAGGCATGGGTATTCAAGGATACAAATGTTGGGAGTCGGAAGTAACGCATTCATGTCCACATGAATATGAGACCACATACATACACACACTATCTTTTAGAATTCATTAAACACAGATTGGTTCAATAAACGAACGGTCAGTAATTAATCCTTTGGCCACACAATTTCAAGGAGAGAATTTAACTCGATTAATTGGCAGAATCATTTCAAAGGAACAAATACATACCTCGAGTTGTTCGTGTAGCTTTTTCTGAACTTCCATCTGCAGGCGTAGAGCCTCTGTGATATCAATACTCCTGTTATGCAAAACAAGATTGATGTTAGGAAACACCACTTCATACTTGGGAATTGGGAAAAATTGATTGTTCGCAAGACCACAAGTATGTAAGGCCACAGGTTTGGTTCATTTTCAAAACAATGTTATTACCAAATAATTCCCAAGTTAATGTACCCCCAAGGCCTAAAGTATTCCAATATGAACATGATGGACACAAATTACTGGAGTCTACCAGCATAAGCGTGTGAGGAAGAGGGAGCATTACGCACTAGTAGTTGGGCCCATAGGGAATATTTGTTAGTTATGTGTGGGCCATATGGGTATATGGTAGAGGGGGTTGGCTATGTTGAGGTAGCTTTYTGCATAGGGAGCTCTCCAAAATTGGATTTTTGGTAGGGAGCTCTCTAATCTCTCTTGGCTTGTGTTGTTAAATTAAATTGAGGCTTAGGCTTAGCAGAACAGTAACAAATCCGCTAGCTTAAGAAATACTTTAAGGGGCATATTCGAGCATCATTTAATATCCCCCAACAAATTGGATTTTTGGTACTTCATCCAGAATGGTCTAAAATCCCCTTTATAGTTAGAAATACCCATCTGCACTCATAGTAACTTTTTGGCATCGCAAGAGTAGATGAATAGTTAAAAGGAACAGAGAAGTATTGAATAAACAAGTCCAATTAAATATGAAATCTAGACAACCTTGAGTGAACGCATAAAGCAAGAAACGATAGCACCAGAATTTAAGTCAAATATGGACAAATCAAACCGCATATGCTTCAATTATCCAGAAAAGATAGAGAGAATAAAAAAAATGACTTACGTTTTCAGATCGAGAGATGAAATATCCTCAAGCGATGTGGTGCTTTTCTCCGTTGACCCTGMAATGAAAACGAAAATCAACCAATTTTCACTCCAGAACATCACAATCAAATAATATGAGCCATCTAACTACTGTACTTAATTACAGGGGTTCAAATTTGCATGTATTACAATTTAGGATTTGGATTTTTCTTCCTTGGGAGAAAAGTGCTGTTTATAATTGAGAGGTGATGGAATAATTAACACAAGTTAGATGTCACAGGTATTTTGCATACCTTTTGATGATTCTGGCTGATATCTAGCCGTTCTATATTTCTGCAAGCAAGAAGCAATATAACTATTTACACAAGTATCGGATATAAAAACACACAACCACACACATTTGATTCTTACCCAATAAACGTTTGGACATATGCACACAGTGTAGAACGGGTGGGTTCATTCATTTGCAACTGCCTTATTACTAAGGTCTAAATCATTTTTATTTCACTCCATTAAGGAAATTGTATTCTTTCATTTTATTATTAAATGAAAAGTTCATATATTGTTAAAAAAAAAAGTTGTCTAACTCGACTTATTGTACAAGAAGTAAATATACCTGCAAGTGGCTCTTAACATGATAGATTGTCAAACCCTCCACTTGCATAAGCTTCAGAACACCCTTCGGAGTAGCTCCTGGGAAATGAAAGTAGTAAACCCCATTAGCTATAGTAATCATTATCAGGACGTGAAGCAGGTAAGGGTACGGCAATACACACTTTCACTACCACCAAGTTTGTTTACAGCCTCTACAAATGCATCATGAAGTTCTGGTGTCCATCGCATTCGTGGCTTGGAGGGGGGTCCATTTGAAGAGGGAGTTGAGGTGGCAATCATAGGAAGTTCCCCAGAAGAAGGAATCTGATTTTGAACTTGAGACTGCTGCAGTTGCATTTTTATTGCCGGTTTAGTTGCTTGGTGCACCATCTAATGAATAGCCATAAACCATAACCAAAGCATTTATAAGTCTCACTTGGAAGGAACAAACCAATCAAATGGACAAAAAATTTGAATAGCATTGTGTAATCATTCCAACCTTTGGTTCCAAATCTACACCACCATTGGCATCCGCTAGAAGGTCACTCCAATTAGAAATCAATGAATCATCAGTTATTAGTCTATCAGTCCATTCCTGCCAATCATTTTCTTTGTMGAATTCATCTGATACAATAACAGAGCTGCAACTATTGTTTTCTACATTACTATTGCCAAGGGGGTTATTTTCAGGACCTTCCAGAAAACCTGGCAGTGCATCCGAACACCAGGAACTGGCATTTTCACTAGTAGGATGGCTTGTTGACGACAGGAGTTCTGAATGAGAATGAAACAGTGGCCCATTCGTTGATGACTCGGGAATGAATGGTGCATCTGATTGATTTTCATAAAATGAAACGGACGAGTAATGGAGATCTGTCGAAAACCCTGGAGAAGACGAAAATATATGACCAACTACTCCACTGCTAGAGTGTAAATGACTTGCATGAACGAGAGGCCTTGATACCAGCTCTCGTTCCATTGAAACCTGTTGAGAATCTGGCAACTTAGGATATGTCTCTTCCAAACAAGGGGGCAGCAGGGCCCTTAATGATTTAGATAATTCTTCAGCTACCCCTGCACCACTATGCCTCCTTGCACTTGAACTTGGAACGGATAAGGCAGGACTCGCCTCAATTTTCATCCTTGAATCAAAGGAGGCAACAAATTTCATCTATTTGCAGCAATAATTCAAGCTCCACATGGCAATCCATCATATTGTAGAACATAACTGGCCCTTAATTTACTTGAGGAGAAGTTACAGCTTATTTCTAAGCCCAATATCTAAAAATGGAAAAGGGGGGAAAACCCATCAATTTAGGAAGATAATAGTACAAATAATTTTCAGAGAGACCATATTACATTTCAGAAAAAAAAYAGTTTCTTCTAAATAAACCAAGGCACAAGCATATCATCACAAATAAAATGGTTTGCACTGGCTAGATTATACAGGACCCATGAATCGTCAATGTTTAGATGATTGTATTTGGAGCTAATCTCCAAGAACTTAACAAWTAGGCTATCGACAGCAGCACAAAAAACTTTATTCTACAATTATTCAGGATTGGGGTAGGGCAGTCGTCAAACCCTTCCCAAAATACTCATCAAATTCCGTTTTCTGAGCGTGTACCCAAATAAAAAACTATAGAGGCAATTTTAGGTGATCATCTTTACCAGCAGCTGAAATCATATCAAAGCTGCATCAAACCACGTACAATCATTATTCCATTTTTTATTATTTTTAATAAAATTTCCATGATATAATACCACAGAAAGCAATTCAACTGCATCATAACWCACTGATGCCAAATTAACAAGATACCCAAAGGAAATAAGTCGTATATCAAAACCTTGAGACATATAATTCCAAGTAAAATAGCTTATAGAGTAACTGAGAGACTGATTTCAACAACACATTGATGAAACAGATTAGCAAAAAAATAATCGACTAAACAGAGAGAAAAAAAACATACAATCAGGAGCTTATGCAATAGAAGAACATGAAAATTTTGAAGTAGCCAAATGGGTGAATCCCAAAACGAGTAACAATCAGCCGCAAATGGAAAGGAAATTGCGCAAAAAAATATATATATATAAATCTATCTAATCAAATTGGATAACATGAAATTCTTACCCAAAAGCCGACCAGAAAGGCTGTGGAGGCGAGAAGAAAGAAGAAAAAAAGAACCCCGCGAAGAAAGAGACTCGGGGAATAGAATCCGAAAAACCAAATGATTCGGCGCTGAGAAATTGGAGGTGTAGTTCTCGGGTCACAGGCGGGTGTTTTAAATACGTCACCGGCACAGCCGATGAAGGCAACTGTGAGCCGTGAGGTGGCGGCTCTCATGAGCTTCAGCTTTGTCGTTATTGCACTTCTGAAACGTACGGAGCTCAATTGTCGCACGCGCAACCACGGCGCGTGTCTTCAATCGTACCCGTTTGGCCAATGGTTTGTACAGACGAACGCTTCTGATTGGCTGTGAACAGAAAAGATAATAGGCTGCGACTGGTAGTGCGACTAAGGTTGTCAATTTTTCTGCTCTTTGTCCCAGTGGCCAATACTAGTCGTTTAAAAATTTAAAAAAAATTTATATTTTAGGTTTTTGCCGAATAAGCATGGCCAACTTTCCAAAATTAAAATTATAGATTTTCTCCAAATTTTAATGATTTAGATTTAATTAATCATAGTCTTTTCCCTTCTTAATTCTATTAACTTTAGATAGAAAATCTTTTAGTACAATAACACGTGGATATGAGTAGTGTAGCTATGCTCATATTGATTAGAAAGATTGRCGTCTCGATTTATTTTAGATGAAAGTAATATYTAATAAATATTTTATTTATATTCAAATTGACTATTTCTTTATAATTATTTTTGAAATCCTAATATGACATATTTAAACTAACATTAATTGAAGATGGTAAAAGGGAGAAAGAAAAAATATTTAGTTATATCATTATTATAATTGATATTTTAAAAAATATATTAGTATTCTTTGATTCTTTCGACTATTTTAAAAGTGTGAAATTATCTTACATAAAAATTCTAATTCTATTCTCAAGATGTTTTTTTAGGTTCATATTATATTTCTACGGTACATTTTAATAGAATATTATTTGGCACCGAATTTATGATTGGTTTTCTATTGAATTTGAAAACAATGAATCTAATTAACTTTATTACAAAAGTCCAACAAAAAATATCAAAGCGGATAATTAGGAAAAACTAAGGATCAATATATATAAGTAATAGATACCAAAACAAAAGAAATTAAAAAGTTTTGAAAACCTAAATTTGATCCTCTCAACAAAGAACAATTCTGAGGTATAAATTATAATTTTATAAAAAGAAAATTGCAAAGAAAAAGGGAGCATATGGAATCAGCATCCACTATGAGCAATTAATTGTATACTTCTTTTTTTCTTTTTGTTTGAAGGATATTATCAAGAAATTGGAACATGAAGCAGATTCCACATATCTAAACATTTGCAGAATAAGAGACAGCTTCTTTTTGTATAAAGATGTTTCCCTTTGCCAAATTCCATCAGCTCAAGTTCCTCCAAAAAGTTCATTGCGTGAGTAATTAAGATTTTTTTTTTCTTTTTATTTAAGACGTGCCAAGTGTCACCATAATTTTGCAATTGCATCATACCAATATTCATTTTAGTTTTTTACTTCAACTTTTACGATGCAACTCCCATGAAARTATCGTCTATTTGAAAGAATCAACCAAACCAACTCTTTATGGTTCATAGGTCGATCGTTTGAAATGAGAACATAGTCTCTCACCACATAGAATTAACAATTAGCAAATACTATGAGTTTATAAGTAAGGCCAACATGTTTATTAGTACGAGTTCTTTTAGATAGAGTTCTAAAACAAATTAAATTGGTACATATTTAAGTCTAAAATCGATAATATTATACCGCTMTTAAAGAGAATTGAAGACCCCACTGTCACATTGATAAATATGGTATACGCAAATAAAAGAGGAGATAAAGTTTTCTATAAAAACTCAACTTATACATGGAAGCATTTAATAGGATATTGTACTCAAAGGAAAAAAAAAGCATTTAATAGGATATTATCCCATTTTATTAAAACAAATATATAAAGTATAAATTTTTTAAAATATATTCYATAGATTTAAATACTATTTTAATCTCCTTATACTAAAAATTATTCTCCCTCAAAAAAGAGTGACAATTAATACTTATAATATTTATAATTAAGTAATACCAAGTCCATTTCACCTCTCACACAAAATAAAAGTTGATACATATTTTATTAAAATATAGAGAGAGAAGTTAAGGCACATAGTACATGGAATTGGGGAGCTTGAATCTTCTATTAGCAGTGGGAAGACCCTCAAAACTGCTCCATTGGTCACCAACAATGCCCCAAATGTGATAGCCTTCATCAACAAGCCTTTGCCTTGCTTCTATCTTGAACTTCTGCACTTCCTTTCTTTCATCTTCAAGTCCCCTGTCCATGCCAACAACCACCCGACCCAACTGAGTTTAACGTTTGTTTGACATGTTCTTTTTAAGTGCTTATAGATGACCAAAAGTGTTTTTTTAAAGAACGGTAGGATGGTGTTTTTGATCGATAAAAATTACTTTTTATGATCAAAACTACGCATAAAAAACACTTCAAAGTGCTTTTAAGAACACTTTCCCCAAAAAATATGTCAAACATACTTAGTAGGATTCTATTCTAAGATGTATTCTATATACAAAAATTCACCTTTGGAACATAATCTACAACTCTTTGATATGTATATCTAAAAGGGTAAATCATCCAAAAACTAAATTTCATTTTTGTTGATTAATTTTAGAGAGAAAGAGAGGGAGAGACCTCAATGTGAGAGCAGACCATCCATGGTATCCAACTTGGATCAGATTATCAACAGTTGGAGATCTGAGGTGTTCCCTTCTTGAAGAGATCAAAAAAATTTTAACCCCTTTGTCTCTGATGAGATTGAAGAGCTTCAATGAATGCTCAAGAGCTGGTGCCTTGCTGCTTTTCATCCATTCCTCCATCGCTGTTGCATTCAACTTTTCTCCCCTGTTTTACACCATATCAATCACAAACAAAAACAAAAACGTTATCAAACGCGATCTTAAAGTCTCCAATCTCATCCCATGTCTTTGTTAGTTTATGCCGAGGGCAAAGTTTTACACTTGAGAGATGAGTTGAGGTTAGTCCCGTTTGACCGATTTCTTGAAAGAGTTCTACGGGGATAAGCTCAATGGAGTCAGTTACAGTGATCCTGYTACTGTAAAAAAATATGCTAGATCCAAGCATACCGAATTGACTTACCCGAAAGCGTGCTTCTTGAAGAATGGAATGGTGGACAAAAGGGTATCATCAAMATCAAAGATCCAAGCATCAGTGCCATCGCCTTCAAGGGTGCAACAACTGCTAAGATAGAGCTTGATCTCCTCAATTGCCCTCTCAGAGTCAGCAGTGTATTGGGGAGAAGTCATGTACTTCTTGATGTGGGAGATGCATTCTTGAGGCACAACTTCAAATCCTCTAACATTGTCTAGCTCCACATTCACTCTCCAACTCTCACAGTACATTTTCAAGGTGTCACCCACATCAAAATTGCTGCTTTTTTGCCTCAAAATGTTCCATTCTGCACCCACARAGAAGGGTGCCAAGGCTGGCAGAAGAATTACCCAAAATGACACAACATTTGCCATATTGCCAATATGGTAGGGGAGGATGGGATTGTGGGGAAGTTTTGAAGGCCAAGAAAATGGAGATTGGGTTTGTGGGGTAAAGTGTAGTCATTGAAATTTATGGGAAATTCAAGTGGGAAGGATGGCATATTAGCTGTGGGATTAAGGAGAGCTAATTATGGCCATGTGTACAAAAAGCCAATTGACAACTGGGTTTGGTCCCATTTTCTCTGCTTGATTTAAGGGTTGCTTGTGAACTAATAATCATCAAACCCGTCTAAAGGGAGGAAAAAGAAGACCAAAAAGAACAAAAACTTCCATATATTTTGATCCAATCCCTGGATTGGAGTTTGAACACAGGATCTTTTAGTCGGTGATACATACCTTAATTAGTTGAGTTAGACATAGGTTGATCATTTTATAAATTCTTTGTTCTTRGATTACTCTATGCCTTCTATTTTAAAACTTTGACTAATTTAGTTTTTAAAATGCAAAAAAGTAYATAGTTACTCATTWACAGAGCCAAGTATTACAAGAGACAAAGAGCCAAATTACATAGTAATTAAACGAATCAAAATCCTAAAGATACCACTAGACTCAATGAATAAAAGAGTCTCATGGCAATATATCCAATATCTAGAGCCTAAGTTTTGATACCAAATCATATGAAAACTATAGTGAATTGGAATTAGGAAGAACTCTTTTGATATGTGAACCCCTCATTCTCAAACATTAAAACCTTCGAATCAATTCGATTTCAACCATAAGTTTAGGTTAAATACAGATTGCCTTAAGATAAAAACTCCGAGACAAATAACAATTTTCTTTGCTCAACAATCGAACAGTCTACAAGATATGACGATCATTCTTACTTGAATATTCTTGACATGCATAAACTCAAAGAATCATAAAGTGTAAAAGATTTGAGTGGTTCTAAGCTAAACGTGAAAGAAAGCTCGAAACTAAATTATCTTATCTAAAACAACTTGATAGCTTATGGTAAGACTTAGAAGATAGCCTTCCAACTAAATTCTAAATGTCACCTCATATTCAATATGCTCTAAAAGATAAAAATTAGAAAATAATAAAATTACATTAATTAAAATTATTAAAAAGTATGATCATAATTTGAAGTCATAATTAATATTAGGAAAATTGTATTGGGTAGTTAAACTTTTATATATATTTACARAAATGTCAACCACTTTTGTATTTTGCAAATATGGTAAAATATTTGAATTTTTATTTTYGAAATTTTTATTATTCCAGTTTTACCCTTATGATATTTGATATATACCCGATGTATATTTGATATACGCTCGATAAATGTATATCTGATATACGCCCGATGGAAGTATATATGATATACGTCCGATGGATGTATATCTGATATACGCCTGATGGATGTATATCTGATATACGCCCAATAGATGTATATTTGATATACGTCCAATATATCTCTGATATACTTCCGATCTACATCTGATGTACATCCGATCTATCTTTGATATACATCAGATGTACGTATTATACATCTAATATACATCTAATGTACCTCTAATTTATGATATACTAAATATATTTGTAATGATATACCTATGTATATCTTATCTGATGTATATCAGTATTATATCAGTGGTATATTAAAGACATATCAATAATATATTACATACATATTAGTGGTAAATCAATAAATAGTAAATAATATAATCGTATAAGAAGTTATATTAGTAGATATCATAGTTATATCAATGATATATCAGTTGTATATCAATAGTAAATCAGATGTGTATATATATATATATATATATATATATATATATATATATATATATATCAGTGTTATATCATTGATATATCAATGCTACAAGGGTAAATTTGACATTTTATTATTGGACCTCGGTTTTTTCTAAAAATTTTGCTATATTTGCATATCTAAAATGCAGATGCTAAATTTGTTATTTCCTTAAATTTTTTTGTCATATTTGTAACTGTCTTAATATTATTTATACATTTCAACTCTTCAATCAAAAATCAATTTGAGCCTAACTAAACTAGTTAAGACATCAATCTTCGACAAAAAAATTTATGAGCTCAAATCTCCTCCCGTACCCTAATAAAAAAACCTCTTCAATCAAAAAATTTGTGTAGGCCCCGAACTACACATTATGATTGCAAGTGAGAAGAAGCAGCAACTTTATTTATTTTAATCTGTGTCACAAAAGTTCTGAGAGAGCATTAAAAGAATGAAAATAATTGAGATACCAAAATGAAGATGATACTGTACATCTACATAAAAGCACTATTGTATGGGGAAAAAATGTCCACTATTCCTTCAAACAAAACTTTGGCTTATGAGCACCTTAATGTGGGTTGCAAATTAAATTTCTTAAATAATTGATGATGTAGGAGACAAAATAATATTCTCTACTTATGATATAAATAAAGAAAATGTGAAACATAAGGTTCTAAAGAAAAAAATATATAAATATAAATTTAGGACRTGTTTGGTATAGTTTTCTTTCTTGTTTTTTTTCCTCTTTTCTATTAAAAAAATATAGAATTGTACGACTCCAATGTCCGTGGATATAAGAATGAATGAGAAATGAGAAAAAAACAAAAAAMTTTTTTTACATATTTTTAAAATGTCTATACAATTTTGAGAATATTTTTAAAAAAATAAAAAATATAAATAATTATCAAATATTTAGATTTATTAATAAAATAAAAAATGAGAAACAATAACGAGTAGACTGATTATACCGATGGAGAATTTTGTGGGTAATATTGAAGTTAAAAACAAACAAGTAATTGTGTACTTTTTGACTATTAGATTTGAAAAGGAAAAAGAAGGAAAAGTTCACTACAAGCTTTGAATGGAATCTTTTTTAGTCTATTTTGTGGGCCACCAAAAGGAATAAAGACAAAGGATGGTGGACACAAAAGAAAGGGCCAAGATTTAACCACTGATTTAGCCTAATCTATAGCTAAGCAATTAAAAAAAGAATCCTAAAAGTATGTATACGGGCCACCCACGTGAAACTTAGGTGTAATTGATACCTATCTTTAATCAAGAGATCATGTATTCGACTCTTTCTACCCCTAATTGTTGTACTAAAAAAATGGTATGTATATCGTATACGACCATTTATGTAGCTCATACGTCACAATTGAGATTATTTAAGATTTGAAGCTCTAAACTTATACTTTTAACTAGCATGTTTTTAAAAAGTGAAAAAATTAGAGGTTATAGTTTTCAAAATCAAACTATAATATAATCACTACTAAACCGACTTAATAAGATATCCATACCCACATATGTACTGAATAAAATAAATGAAATTGTAATGAGAAAAAACACCAGCAATCGTAATCCTGCAGGCAAACAAAATCATGATTTAGACAAAAACTGCATTTAATTTTTGCTTCAGCGCACACTGACTAGAGAGATGTTAGCAAGCCTAGATACTGCACAGAGTTGAAGGAAAAAATTAGAGTTAAGTTACAAAGGCAGAAATCCAATATTTGGAGGGCAGAGAAGAACCCCATCAGAAAGAGTGAATTTACATGTTCTCCCAAACAAGGCTCAAAGAAAAGCAAAAGAAACCCATTTATTGCAGATGATCATTTCATTGTATACAGAAATGGGTTAGAAGAGAGAGAATCAATGAAGAAATCCATCATCAAAGTTGAGAGAGTAGCTGTGGAGATCGTAAGTGTAGTGAAGTGGTCTGTTTTGGGATCTGAAGATGTGCTTCCAGTGGGATTTGAACTTCAAGACCAGGTTCCTCAAGGCAGATGATGATGCAGAGGAGCAGCTCATGGGGGGCTCCCTTTGATCCTCCACGTATGAATTTGCGATTCTGTTCCCCAGTCTCATGAATTGCCATCTCCACAAGCACAGCCTTGACATTTTCATGCCCACCCCTTTCATCACTGCAAATCAGAGAGAGAGAGAGAGAGAGAGAGAGAGAGAGATGTTATTTGTGATGAAATAAATTAGCAAYCGAAGTAGAATTGAAAAGGAAAAAGATTGAGGAGGAACAGAAGGTGAGAGAGAGAGAGAGAGAGAGAGAGAGAGAGATGTTATTTGTGATGAAATAAATTAGCAACCGAAGTAGAATTGAAAAGGAAAAAGATTGAGGAGGAACAGAAGGTGAGGGCAGGGGTGGTCCCAACTTTTTTTCAACTTGGGGATTGCATTGAAGGGTCTGAGGTTGAGATGAGTGGTGTCAGTATCATCAGTAACGCCAACGGCACTAAGGGGGAAAAATAAAGTTGAGACGACTTGTCGTTTTCTGATTTCCGTTTCCCTCTGTTTCACTCAAGGAATTGGTTTACTTTCCTGGAAACAAATGCTTTAAAACCTGCTCACTGCTCACTTCTTCTACAACTTCTTACCCACCTTTTTTTACCCAAGTAAATAAGAGAGATTTGAAACACAAATTTCAAGGTTATTTAACCATGTCATTTCTCCTTTGATTTATTTTTTTACTTAAATTCATGGAAGTTGAGGCGTGCAATTCAAGAACGTTAACAAGCGAACCTTTACAAATAAAAAAAAATGATAAATTAATACTTTTATCAAAGTTTTAGAAAAAAAAAAATTAAAAAAACTTTAATTTTATTGTTTATAAAATTTCTAGATAATTTTGGAAACATTTTTTAAAAACTAGAAAGAAGAACCCTACTTTTTAAGCCTTTTTCTAATCATAAATTACGTGTAAAGAAAAGCGTCCAGAAGGATGTGAAAAGATAACCTGATCAGATTGTAATGAAGAGAGGCCAAGCTCCTGCGGATTCTTACTGAAAAAATATCTGCTACTTCGACTTTATGTCAGATACAAACATCTCCTCATTCGAATGCTGATTTTTAACTTAGATTAGTTGAAGGATATTAGACACAATTCTTTGACATTTTCATATTTTTAAATCAAATATATATCTAACAAAAGTCGACAAAAGACCTCGACATTTGTTGTAAGGGTTTAGAAATTACATGAAGAAGAAGAAGAAGAAGAAGAAGAAGAAGAAGGAACTCTTTATTGTTTTCTAATTATCTATGATTTATGAGGGTTATTAGAATATGAATCAAATTTAAATTTAAATTATATAGATTATAAAACAAAACTAAATTAAAAAAAGGGAAATGGTACAACCAAAAAAGAACGGGGGGAATGAAATTATAGTATAAACTACTGCCGTGGGCATATTTAGTCACACGGACTTGTTATAATAATAAATAAAGTAACGTATAAGGGATGACATATTATAATTGAAAGCATAAAACGCAACACAGTGGGACCACAAATCCTTCTCAAAACATACACAATGAACTTCATTTTATGTTCTTTGATAAAGTTAATAGTGGGAATGGAAAGTGATTTTCATTCCCTCAAAGGAAACATGAGAGTAGAATTCCCAAGAGCCCCTCTCGGGTTACTTGAGGAAGGAAGAAAGAAGTTTTAAAAGAAAAAAAAAAACCATAACAATCAAGAACTTGTTTATATATATACACACATATACAAACTTCCAATATGCTTAAGTACCTTGTCCAATTGAGCTAACATTCGTCCAAAAGGTTCAACCAGCATACATGGGAAGAATCACAAATCAATCGATAAGGGAAGGCATATATCGGAGAGCAACTGAATATACCATGCAATAGAAACTCTTCCCGTTTGGTTTTCCTCTTCCTAATTATAATTATAATTTTTTTTTCTGTATCAAAATTCAAATACCTCAGTTCCTGATAATCCATATTCACGACCCAAACTCTCACTGCAAGGCGAGAAATGACAAGGTTTCCTCCCGATCATTCCCTTTTCTGCCCTGCAAACCATTCTGATAGGTAGGGGGTTGGATGGGTACCAGGATATCAAATAATAGGCAGAAACGTATCAATTATCAACCAAAACTCATAACTCATAATGATCATTTTTTTTTCTCAAGATAAAAAACAAGCTAATCCCAGACAATGAAATTGAATCTTAAGATCCTACTCTATAGAGAAGGAAAAAAACGAAATCAAGTCACTTGATATTCAAACAATAGCATTAGCAGCACTTGCAATTCTGGGCCAGAGATCAGCACATTCCTTTCCAATAGGGCCTGTTATGGCAGAACCTGCAAGGTCCAAGGAAATAGCTATTTAAGTCCATGAAAGTGAAACAAGACGGGATATATGCCACTATAAGCACTCCAAAACTACAATTTTAGATAAGTATGCAACTGGCTTTTTAATCTTTTATTCACGGCATGCTGATTTCTCTCCTTCCATTGTAGACAAATTTAGAAGATTCGCAGTTACATGTCATTTTTTAAGAGTTAAGACTGCATACGGAGGACTAGATACTTTATACCAGGACAAGATCATAATTCATACCTTTCATCTCTCCTTTGGGGTTCACGATGACACCAGCATTATCTGCAGACACAAGAAAGCCATTATTCAGCGCAATTGTATAGTTCTATATGGGGTGAAGACATGAAGTACAGACGGTAACCCAATCTCTGATTAAAATAAAATAGTTTAACTCCATTCTGTGAAACAATCCTTCTCATAAAATGACAACAATACCATCCTAAACACATAACTTGATAGCCATTCTTATCACGAGAAGATTACAACTAGATCACATGGTTCACAATGAACCCAGATAGAGAATGGAGGTATTCACATTTCTGCATAAACTTTCCAGTAAAATTAAATAGAAACCAAAAAGAATACTCCCAATAAGAACCTTCACAGTCCAATGGCAAAATATGAGTTCCAACATAACGATGATCACTTTCATACAACTAAACAAAAATCATGAAACAACACTGACAGAGTTCGTAGCTTTGCTTAATATTCATCTACAACACATTAACAGCCGAAAGAAAGCATACAGAAAACCCGAGTGTCCAAATCCTTAAACCTCTTCAAATTAAGATAAGATCGATCCAATCAGCAAAAAATAAACCGCGGATAATACATATAAAAAAAAGATCCACCGATCAAGGTTAATTACAACAATAACCATAGACAAACAAACCTAATAGCAAGCAGATAACATGTGTGAATAATTATAACGAGAAAATGATCGAAAACGAAACAAGATAGATAAATTTAGTAGTGTATGACCTTCAAAGTACATGAAGACACCATCCTTTCGGCGCCAGGGCTTGCGCTGCCTGACAATAACAGCAGGTAACACCTTCTTCCTGAGGTCCGGCTTTCCCTTCTTGACGGTGGCCATGACCATGTCACCAACACAAGCTGACGGCAAGCGGTTGAGGCGGCCCTTGATCCCCTTCACCGAAATGATATAGAGATTCTTAGCTCCTGTGTTGTCCGCACAGTTGACTGTAGCCGCCACTGGTAGACCCAGCGACATCCTGAATTTATTCCCAGCAGAACCTCCCCTACCTAAATAGATACACGGCAATAACAAATCTCAAATATAAGAGTAGCAAACAAAAGATCGAATCAACTATAGCGCTTTCAATGGCATTCGTAGAAAATGTCTAACGAACGGAGATAGAACGAGAAACCATACCTCGCTTCGACATTGTTAACGGGCTCTCCGGCTGCCCT